AATGGCTCATCGCAGTCGCATGTAAAATTATCGCGGTCAATTTCTTCCTGTGAATTCAGCGTTTGCAGGTCTTTGGTTTCGCTTTCATTCAGCAGAATATCCATGGTCCAGTTACCATCACCGTTGCACTTTTCAAACAGATCCCACAGCGGTGCAACCGGTATTTGTGGATAGATTTGACGTATTTCTTGGAATGACTGGTTTTCATTGGTGCATTTTTTGTTGTGTCGTTTCAGTGGAACGCCAGCAGCCCTCTCAGCATCCATACCTTCTTCATTGGCACTTTTTGAGTTTGATTTATCCTGTAAAAGACTGTATATATTTTCAATGTTTGCATTGCCCGTCATCTTGGCCCGCTGTGGCTTCGGTAAACTTTTTTCGGTTTTCAATTTAGCATCTGAGTCTTTGTTCCAAAAACTGGATTGTTCTTCTTCGAAGGCCGGCCATGCCTCGGTGAAATTTTCCAATTTATTTTCACTACTACTAGCTACCCTATAGTCGCCAACGTTCTCACGATTCCAATCATATTTCTTCGTTGATCGCTGTTCCTTCGGCGTGAAACGCGAATAACCGTTGTCCGAAGCAGACAATCGATTACTGCTATAACCACTAGGTCCCTGCTGCTGCTGTGGTTGAATTTCAGGGAATTTCCGAAGCTGAGGTGTCATCGGGTAGTTGATTTGCATCGCACGCAAAATATCTTCAACGGTGCCTGGTTCATAATTCGAGAGCATTCTTGCGATTGCCTCTTGGTCAACACCATGTTTATTGCGCTGTGCTAATTTACCAACTGAAATTCGCCACGGTGTGTTCGGCTCCAGAATTTTTATGATATATCCGTATTGCACAGCTGTTTTGAAATAATTGAACATCTCCCACCATTTCATGTTCGTGTTGTCAACGATAATCGGACTCCACCCGTTCATTGAACGTTGGGCCACACGAAACTGATTCGATTCATGGGCTTGACCAAGACGATTCCGATCGAAATTATACTGTTTCGTGCGTCTATTGAAGAAAAAATCATCCGTCGAAAAGATGTGATTGTCGTAGTCACTGTGCATTGTTCGATCAATAATCGATTTGGCTAGGTATGATTTTCCACTGCCTGGTGCACCTCTCATGCAAATCAAAATTAGGTGATTCTGTTCAATGTGCTTAATTATTTCAGCTACATCTGGATGTTTGTCCATTGCGTTTGATGTGAGTCGTGGCTGCTTCGAATTGGGCCCAGGACGATGATTCGGTAACGGTAGATTGGTTGCTGTAAAGCCAGCATTGTGTTGTTTGTAAGTTGGCCAAGGGCATCGTTTTTCCTGTTCCTCATTTTGTGCAGAACCACTTGGTTTTTTCGGTTTGGCGGCAGTTGTATTGACTTGTTGAATCTCTTCAGATTCAATTAAAACGTCTGCGTCATCATCATCAGATAAATTGTTGTTGTTGGTATTATATTTTTCCATATTTACTGTCATTGGACGTTGAACAGTTCTCGGGTCAAATTTCACCAGCTTTTCAATGCACTGTTCCACTTGAAATGTAAGAAAAATAAACAAAATAAGCAAAACTATCGTTTTTTCTCGCACAAAACAAAATTCTAACTAGAATTGTTGCGCTGACTATTGAAGAGCCGTTAAAATATGCACCAATCAACAAATGGAACAGTTTTACAAATGATTTTGAAAGTTGTTTTGAATGTAATGTGATGTGATTTGATGTGACGGTTGTGCAATATCAACATTCGAGTATTTTTCGCGCTTAAAACGCCATTTGTCTTTATAGGCTACTTTGATTAAGCAGCCAATGAGTTGAAATTACAAATACACTTACATTTCCATTTCGTTTCCTGTCCCGTTTTCAATATGATTTCGGTCGGTACTGTATCACCAAACAAATCAGTTAATTGAGCGAAGATCTTATCATCGCAAATCGAGTCCAACATTTCCCTCTCTCTACTTTCATTCATTTGATTTCAATGTCAATTTCTTACTCTCATTTATCTATCTCAATTTTTGTCTTTTTTGTTTGTTTTTAAATTGCTAAACTGTAATCATTCGGAGGAGCTTGAACATAAACACTATACACAAATATTTATGTCAATTTTTTTTTATGTAATAATAAAAAGAAACGATGATGATAAGTGTTTTCATTATTTTTATCTCGTGTATACATGTGTGGATAACTTTCGCGGATTGTGTGTTATGTTTTGTATGTGTCAGAATTTGGTTGAATGTGCGATTTGACAGCTGAATATTTTTTTCGGGCTTCTTCGTGCTCACACAACAGATGTTATTCAGTATGGAATTGCCAGTTTTCAAAATCAATTTCCATTTGTTTCTTTTCTCTAAACTGTTGTTGACTCATTTGAACTCATTAGAAATAAAAAAAATTACCTGGATTATTCCCTAGTTATGGTGGTATGAGAAAAATTGATTTCACAGGATTTTGCTTTGTATTTGGAGCAAACACTATTAGCTAATGTAGAGCCTCTGTGATTAGTCACTGAGAAATTTTTTTACCAATTGTCGATTTTCCCAAAGTAAAATTCAACGAAATAGATACGAGTTAAACTGTTCGGCTCAACTTTTGTGTTGACAGTTGACATTTCGGCCAAAACGATAAATAGAATTATGACATGTGCGAGCAGTACACAAATGAAACGAGATGGAAACATAATAGAATTAAATTTTCGACAAAAAGTGTATGTGACAAAGTAAGCGCTTGAAAATTGAAAATTGCTAAAATCAAAATTCCAAACAATTGATTTGAGTGTTAATTTTCAATAGCACAACGGGCATTTGTTCGGGCACATTCTAATTCGGGCAAGTATTTAGAAGTTCGTGTTCTTTGTTTCATCTGATTTTGACGTATGTGGCAATGGCGATTCAATGGCATCACTTGTGAATACAATCCGTTTATGTGTGTTACTGTAAATGTTTGATGTTGTACAGTGTGTACACGATTTGACGCATCGTTCTAACCAAAACTGGGAAAATAAAAGGGATTCACTGACTTCAGGCAAATCACATAAAATTTTCCCAAAAAAAAAAAAAACAGTTTGCAATCGTTAAATTGTCAAGTTTGTTTTCAAAATAAAAGTGTTCAATCATTTGATTCGTCTTCAGCCAATATTTATTCTATCGAAATTGTCGTCTTGAAAAGTCAAATTTCTTTTATTCAGAATTACTGTGTGTTATTTATTGTTATCATCATCATCATTTTAATCATCATCATTATTAAAAATTCGATTTTCGACGGTATATGTGAATTTTTGCTAAAAGTTAATTAAAAAGAAAATTAGAAGTTCCATAATCAAAAGAAAAACCATTGATTAATTGGATTGAGTGTTGTTTAGAATCGATTGAAAGAGACATTTTCTAAGGTTTGTATTGTCGATGTTTGACAGACGGAGCGGAGAGAGAGAGAGAGAGAGAGAGAGCTGGGGGAAATGGGCGAATCATTACCATAACCATTATTAGTGATCTATACCTTCATTGTGCTCTGTGAATCGTTTCGATTGAATGAGTTTTGGGGTGCTGCTCATATGACACAACAGATGCATTATTTGATCAACATATTTCATTTGACCAATAGAACAAAGCTAATTTTATCGAATTTCCAAAAAAAAAATCGCAAATGTCAAATGTTATTGATATTCATTGCTCAAAGAAATGCGACAAAAAAACCTTGCATTTCATTAGCTTTGATCGCAAAAATAATCCCATTTTGAGGTGTAAAATTTCTATATAATACAGAGATGTCAAATACAATTTTCACATGATTCGATTTTTAATCGTGTTTGTCAACTTTTTGGTGTGCAATTCGGTAACATAACCTTGTTCAGGAAAATTCTCTCATTAGCTCCAGTGATTTGCATCGTTCTCTATCGTCGTCTTCTTCTTCTTCTTCGCGTACAATTTCCAATAAATGTAATTTGCTTTTGTTTTGCATTATTATTCTTCGCAGAAATTGTCAGCCCGTAATTGAAATCACATGGATTTTGAAGTGCTTACTCTTATTCAAGCAATAATAACAACGAAGCCGTATCAATACTAATTTTCATACAGTGTTGTGCAGTGGTGATTATCTATTCGGGTACAAACAGTTAAGGTGGAATAAATCACGTTTATTCCGGAGTGTCGAAAATAACGTCGAATTCGAGTGTTTATGCTTGTATTTGTGTTTCGGTTCGCATAAATAATGCCACGGGGTAAAAAGCGTTCGATGGATATGACACCAGCTGAAGAGGAACGACAGACGTCCAAACGACAACGAAACAACTTTTCCAGGTAAGAGTCAGTCTAGCGAAACGTGATCTCTATCGATTTTTTTTTTTTTTCGTTGTCGTTTCAAACTCCGATTTGTTCGTGCGAAACAGCTGTTTTGTTCAACATAAAATTGTACTTGGCATTGATTTAAACATGAACTTGCTCGAGCAATAGTGATTCAAGGTCAGAATTGTATCAAATACACTCCTATTAAACTAGTAGACGGAGAAAGAGTGTATGTGTGTGTATGCAACACAAATGGAAAATGGTTTAAATTTGAACAATTTAACTATTTGATTATGTTGCTATCGATTTTCCCTGCAATCTATATTCATTTAAACGACAATAATTTCGAGAGAGAAACCTTTCACAACGCTGTAGTGTGTGTACTTCAAAATTTATCCATTGAATTTCTGCAATTCATGCAGCTCCAAATCAAAGAGCCCGTACGTTTCGATGCCTATTCAATCAAATTGGCTTCGATTAGTGACAGTGAATCAGTTGATACGTAAGCGATCACCAAGAGCCAGAGACAGTGTGTTGAGTGATTTTTTTTTCTTCAGCGAATCGACAGCAACAAAATTTAATCTCTCGTTTCTGAGCAAACGTTTAACATACGTGTTACGTTGCGCACATCAATACACACATACGCATCATCACATAAGAAAACATCGGATTCTCTCACTACAACCCAACCACTATAGCAAGTGTTCGCTTTTTTTTCAAATGATTTTTACCGTTTGCGTTTAACCCACTTTGTTATTTATAGATTGAAAAAAAAAAATATCTCATGTGTTCGTTTTTTCGTCCATTTGCTTTCACAACCGGGTTTGCTTCGTTATTTTCTTTGGATTGGGCGATTTTTTTGTCACTTGCTCTCTTATCTGTCGACCGATTTGGTTGTGGTCTTTGATTTGGATGGAAATCTTACTGCCAACAACACATTGATTGCTCAATAAAAACGGAAAAAAAATAAAAAGTGTTGAATGAAAAAAAAAATTAATCAAGAAATTCTGTAGGATTTTCATACAATTCGACATTTTCTGACTAAATAAATACTTTAACGAAAATCATTAGCGCAAAAGTACGTCGTGTGTGTGTGTATTAAAACATTTGAAAAATTGACAAGTTAAAATATTGTATTTGTTGCATGGATGAACTGGAAAAGTGAGTTTCATTCAGATAATCGACAACACCGATGACGAACACTACAACGAGGAAAACAGTGTGGCTAACAATTTGATTGATATATTTCTCTGATGTTTGTTCTATTTGACATTATTAGTTCGAGGCGCACAAACAAAGTCGAAGATGGATTTAGTAGTAAACGTTGTCTCAGTTGGTTCAAGCAATACACCACAGTCAATGAACCAGACGTGCTCGGCCCAGATGCAATGGAACAATTTTGCAAGGACATTGGCGTAGAACCAGAAGATGTTGTCATGCTGGGTGAGCTCATCTTTTTGTTTTGTTTCGTCATTACATTCATTTGCAATTTTCAATGTTCTCATCATCGTTTCGTTTACATTTGTTCGCAATTTCACAGTGATAGCATACAAAATGAACGCACGACAAATGGGTTTCTTCACTCAGGCTGAGTGGCAAAAAGGTTTGACGGATTTACAGTGTGATTCAGCCATAAAATTGCAGTATAAATTAGACTCGTTAAGAAGCTCGTTGAATGATCAGAACGTGTTCAAAAATGTCTACCGGTATGCATACGATTTCGCGCGGGTGAGTTTCAACTGAAAACTGAATCCAGTTGCTTAATTTATAATATGAATCAGTGATGTGTAATCGTTCGATATGTCGTACTATATTCAAAACAAGCAGGACAAGGATCAACGAAGTATGGACATTGAAACGGCAAAGGCGATGCTGCACCTATTGTTGGGCAAACAATGGCAAATGTATCCAGAATTCGCACAATTCTTGCAACAATCAAAGTACAAAGTGATCAACAAAGACCAATGGTGTAACATTCTCGAATTCTCTCGCACCATCACACCCGACTTGTCAAACTATGACGTCGACGGCGCCTGTAAGTGAATGCAGATTGAAGCATATGTTTCTAGTGACTAACCTCTCTCTTTCCCTCCTCTCGATTTTCACAGGGCCCGTATTGCTGGACGAATTCGTAGAATGGTTACGTCAAATACGCAATATCAGCTGAAGCTAAGCCTACCACAGAAAAGTCTGCACCAACAATTTTCACCCATAAAATTCATTGGCAGTTAGCACTTTATATGCAAACAAACAAACAAAATATTCAAAATATTTCTTTCTCTCTAACTCGGTTTTGTCTATTTTCAATTCACTGAGTGAAATTCTTGGAATTCAGTTTGATATTTAAAAAAAAAAAAAAGAAATGAAATGAAAAAGAATAGTGATAAAAAAAAGAAGCCAATCATTTTGATGCGACTCCATAAAACCATACAAAGAAAACAATCGATACGCTTAAAGACGAAATGTTCAGGTTTTGCCAGATTGTAATCTACTGTGAATCTGGTCATTTAGGTAGCAACCAAAAAAAAAAAAAACGTTTGTAATCTTATCGACAAAAAGGATCTTGTAACGGAAGTCATGTTTATGCAACACATAACAGAATAAAACATACAATGAAATTAATAGGTTCTCAATTCAGAATTGAAAATGCTCAAAGATCATAAAAATCCTTTTTTTCCCCCAATAAATCCAATTCAAAATTGATTTTCTTCAATTCGTTTGGCTATATTTCAAAATCAAATTCAACATTTCTGACAATGAGTGAAAATTTACCTAAATTTTGTTAAGTAAAAAAGCGAAACAATCTCACATTTTGATATATATATGCGACTTTTTATGCCAAAATCACACAGTCACACACAAAATATGGCATAAAAATGTCATTCAAAGTAATAATTTGTATCTATTGAGAATAAAAAGTACGGAAATCACATAACTATTGATTAGACCGAAAGGAGTGCAAATTTGACAGTTTAGGCGCAATGCACACAAGCATCGCTACACTCGAAATGACCAAAGCGCGAATATGTGTAAAAAAATTTTTTTTGAAAGATATATTCCTGTGCATAACAGAGTAAAATAGAGAAGAAAAATAGGGACTTCACTTCCAATTATCAACGGGAACACATAAATCAACATACTCTCCTTTCGATCCAACCAATAGCATTTACTATTAAAAATAAAAAAAATGTAAAAGTATAACATCAACACACCATCATAACCAATCTACCACTAGTTCTAACGGCTAAAATCACACTTGCATTATTTAACTTTTAATCACACTGCTTTCATCTGTACTGTACATGTAAAAAAAAAACTAGTTTAAACAAATCCATGGTTTAAAATATAAAATAGACCCATAATAAAGAAAAAAAACAAACAAAGAAATAACAAGTGGTATAATAACGGAATGTTGACAGCAATTTCGAAGGAGATGAATATAAATTTTAAGACTAATTTGGAACATTTTGCCTATCAAGAAAAATAATGTGACATTTAAACTTGATTAAACTGATAAGAAACAGTTGCTATATGTGCACGCCTACATGTGCACATATTTTTTTTATAATCGACTCTCGATTTTATTTCCAAAAGAAGCCAGATGATGCGTTGAGGTGAATGTGAAATTAAAATAAAAAGAAAATGTGAGCATAAAATCATGTGTTTGATTCTTACTTTTGTTCAATTCAAGTTATGTACGATTTTATTGAATTAAATTAAATTGATATCAATTGAATAATTGCAAAGGTTAGTATGGTGCAGCGAGTCCAAAAAAGGTAGGCAAATCGTTTTTAACAAATTAAACTGCTACTCCAAAGTCATCTGATTAACTGGTTACACTCGGCCTGTTTCTCGGAGAAACCAAAACGATTCCTCATGTTTAGAATCCAATATTACGTCAACGACTAATCACTATAAAATAGTGAGCTTGGAGTAATATTTGCGCACCTAGAAACACAAGAAATAGATTGGACAAAGAGCTATTCATTTCAAAAAATTGCAATAAAACATCGAAAGTGTTAATGTTCGTTTCATCCTATTTATTTAGTAGATATTGTTCATACGTATGAATAATTTATTTTAATGAATATTTGAAATAAAAATTCACAATGAATTGAACTTATGCGATTAAAATGTGTTACGTTTCCACTATTCATTTTGCTTCTTTTTTTTTGTTTTTTAGATTCAAGATGTATAATACATATTCGCAATTCAACATTTGTGTCTTCAAAAACAATTTATTTTTGCATCTGCATCTTTCAAAATATCATCGAACATTTGTCAACTTTTCGTCGACACACAATCAAATACACAACGATTCGGGAGCGGTTCTGCACAATTTTCATTTTTATAATTGCATGTAAAATAGCCTGAAATGAATGATTTAATTTATTTTATTTTTTTCCTAAAGTAAATTTTGACAAGAGTCATGATGTATGGTGGTTGTGTTGGTGGTGGTGAAACCGCTCTATAAAAACAAATCAAAATTTATTCGTAAAAATTCTAATGCTTTTTTTTTTACGGCGATCAATTTACCAAAATCATAATCACTTTTTCATTGAATTTTTATGTGGATAATCATCTTAAAATGAGATTTATTTTCTGCAACAAGTTTTGTTATTAATTATCCATTTTATTGAACTTATTTATGCTTCACTTAATTGCTACAATTTAATTTTTTCTGCTTTCCTTTAGACATATAGAAAACATTGGTCTTCTTTTGAAGCTTCCATCTTAATCATCTTATACATTAGTTGTTTTGAAATGTGTAAAAAAAATGGGACCTCGCGATAATTTAAGCTGAAAAGAAAATTGTTGGATAGAGGTAAGTCATGATTTCGGTAAAAAAAGAGATTTGATAAATTAGATTATTTTTATTGAAAAAAAAGAAGAAATTAGCGATCATTAGACAAAATGTATGAACCGAATGTTCAAAATGGTGCATTATTTACAGTCGTTTTAGGGAATGACTCACTGCAATGAATTGGGTCAAAAAAAATGTTCGAAACTAATGCAAATGCAGTATAGTTTTCGTTGAGTATGATGGAACACAAAGTTTGATTGTGTATCACCAAACTCACCCAACTGAAAGTTGGCAAAATCACTGTCATTATTGAATGGTCCGACTGGTTTTTGGGGGTTTTCAACGAAAGAAACTGAGTCGTTGTTGTCAGTGTTCGATAGCACCGATGGAATCGATGTGGTTACATCACTGCCTTCGACACCAGCAAAGAAATTACTTATGCCCATTTCGACTGTACAAAAATGGCTGCGGCATTAATTTTCCATTTTATATTCATTGGATTTGCATTTAATGTGAAACCTACCGGCAATTCCTGCGATGGCCTCTGATGCAAAATGCTTGACATCTACATCGGGATCTACATTCAATTGTTCCAAAGCCGGTTTAACCTGTGTCTCAATGGCTGTGGCTTCCAAATAAGGTGAAATTTTCTGCAATGTTTTTGCCACATTGAAACGAACATTGGCCACTCCATCGGTGGCCAATAGTAAAACAGTTGGCAATAATAATTTGGTTGTCATTTCAACGCCACAAGCTTCGGCCAAAACGTTGATACAAAATAGACAGGTCATTCCTATTTGGCAAACGTATGGAAGTACATTCAAATTAGTTACTCAGGAGTGAATTCTAGCTTAAGATTACGGAAAATATTCCGATGCACTTACGGTGCAAGTAGTTCTTGTCACGTGCCATAACTAAAACTGATGGAATTATGGTGTTTTCTGCCCACGATGATCCAAATTGATCGACTAATTTCTTAGTGTTCAGTGTAGCCGCCTCACGAATTGCATAAACATGATCGCTGAGCCAATCCATGCACAATTTACGCAATTTCTGATCAAAGAATTCCTGTCCCAATTGACCAGCAAGCGCTGGCATGTATTCGATAATAGCTAAGCGTACACGCCATTTCGAGTCCTCAGCCAATTCGACGATCGCTGGTAGGAGTGACTGCAAAGGAAAAGCAATTCGATTATTAGATACGTTTTCGTTGATTCGTTGTTGTCATCAATTGAATCGAACTCACTTGTGACAATTGCTGAATTCCGATGACATCATTTACACAGTCCAAATTCGAAATGATGTTCAGTCGAACGTCTGGGCATTCATCTTTCAACTGGATTAAGAACAACGGCAGTAAATGTTCAACGGTATTGTAGACGCCGAGTATCGGGCTCAAGCCCATGATAACTGATGCCAAAGCAGATTTTACATGCTGATTTGGATCAGAGACGAGCTCTTTGACGTATGGCAAAATTGATGTCATAATTATTTGAACCTGATTCGTTTTGTCTAAGTTTGCGCAGAATTCTTTGACCTTTGAAGCGGCGGCCGAACGAACCTCAGCTTCCGTATCTTTTAATAGGGATTGGAAAGCGGTGACGAGGTCAGTACGTGTGATATCTGGTCCAACAGCCTTCTGCAAGTCGCAGAACTTGTCGGCTACCATGTAGCGCACACGCCAGGATGAGTCGTTTACACATTGGCGCAATGTTGGCATCACCAACTGTTCAACATCCTCCTGTTGCAGGAGCTGTGCAATGCTAACGCACGCTTCAACAGCCAATAAACGCACTGAGTCCTGATCGTCTTGCGCTAATTGAACGAACATTGGAATCAAATCCGATTTCAAATACTCAACTTCAACTACTTTTGCAAATTCGCCCAATTTACTAGCGGCAGCACGACGCACCTATCAAAGCAAAATGCAATCGTTCATCATTATTCCCTTTTAAATTTATATCGAATCCACTGGCTGAGATGCTACACATTTGAAAATACATACCATTGGAGTCTCATCTTGACACAATTGACGGAAGTTATTGCGTAATTCGGCTTTAATTGCTGGTGACACGCGTGGATAACACACCGTGAACAATGCACAAGCTGATGTGCGTGATGTGAACCAATCACCAAATGTCAGAGTGTTTAATGTTGGAATGAAATGGGTTTGTAAATCGGCCACACTGTGTTGTGATGCAACCATTTTCAATGATTCAACCGCTTTATCACGTACAACTGTCTCTTCGACTGTGGCCAAGCTTTCCAACGGCGGAATCAATGACATTGCATATGCTGGACCTCCAACCAAATCTAAATTGAGATTCAAACGAACAAAATTCAGAATTATTATACTCACATCCAATACTTTTCTATTATAAACCAGATTTCAGTCAGATATTAATCCACGGAATTTACTTACTTGTGAATTGACCCAATTGTTCGGCCAATGCAAGAAGCACTTCATCCTCATCGTAAATTGTCTCGGTCAAGAATGGAATTAGTTCGGATCGTGTACGTTCCTCGCCCAATGCCAATGCGATTGTCGATAGTTTTTTAATTGAGTTCAAACGAAGCTATACAATTGCAACCAGAAGAAAAAACAAATCAGTATGCAGCACACATCGAGGCGAACGATGAAAAGAGAAATGTACGAGTACAAATTTAGAAAATCATTGAAATCATCGTCAAATTAAAAAAAATGCCATCGACAAAATCCCTGCCCTATTGAACTATTCGGCGCATACAAACTTCAATTCGAAAATTTTGCATGCACGCAACACAATTTAATTGGCTTTGCCCATTTGTCTAAAGCGCTTATGACAAACTGTAGCCGTACGTTTGATCACGAGCATTTTTTTATCGCCATTTTTAAACTTTTTTTCCCATTTTTAATTTGTGTATTTAATGTGACATTTACTCACCTGAATGTCTTCATTTTTTAATTCATCAATTAAAACCGCAATTGGATACAATGATTCGTCAGACGGTTTATCGCTAGCAGCCATAGTTTCGGTTATATTTCGCACCTTATTCTCGTTTTTCTTTTGATTTGCAAATTACTGCCAAATTGCGTTATAGATATTTTTATGAGATGTGTGTATTCGTCTCCACTTTGCACCGTACAAAAATCGTGCGTTTTTCTGTGTATTTGCGTGAAAGACTGAATGAGAGACACAAGGCGCGCAGATACACAGTTCTAAATTGAAACCTTTCTTCTATATATTACTTGCTTTTGTGACTGCTTCTTCTTTTTCTACGAACAACACACCAATGAACAGAACACGGTCGAAACAAGTTTTTCGCTCAACAAAAGAATTAAATGACGAAACGTAAATCCAAAAAAAAGTTGATGCTACCATATAACAAAATCCTAAAATTCCGTGCACTGTAGATTAAAAGTAAACTAAAACAAAAATCAAATTGATTTCAGATTTTGCGACTTTCTTTGTGGAAATTTACAGCTTTCCGACCTTGCGGTTTCAAGACGATTCTATTTTTTTTTCTCCTTAGTAATCGATTGAAAATGGACGACCGAATACAGCGCCACCAATCAATGCGAGCGGCAACTCAAATGACATTGGAGACACGAAAAACGGTATCACCCTAAAGCCATTCCGATGCAAACTAAATGCTATCACATTTCAATGGAACGATGCAGAAATCAAATGGAAATTCATTTCTCGTTTTTATTCATCTGATTCAATGATTGGAAATGGTTTGATTTAATCTGTAATAAGCATCAAGTGAAACGAACTCTGTTTAACGTACAAATATTTGAGTTGTTACCAACACCGATGATGCTCACACATACCATCATATGCTTCGAACTACATACGCACACACACACACACACACACACACACACACACACAAACCGCAATCGATGGAGATTAAATGACCAATGACATTTGGAGAGATAGAACGAACTTCGTGAGACTGTACAAATACACGAAATCGTAATGTCAAAATAATTGCATTTACGCAAAGAAGTGAAAACAACATTTACCAAAGTTTGATTGCATTTTTATGCGTCTTATCATTTTGTTGCGAATAAATAGAATTTGCTCACAAAATTCATGCAACCAAGTACGAACGCATTGAATGTCTGAAGAAAACAGTGTTAGATGAAACAAAGAAATCACTAAACAACACAATGGATGCTTAAATTGGCTTCAGGAGGGAATTTCATTCGCCATTAAATTGATCAAATTCAATGTGATTTGTGAGTTTGATTTTATTGAATCATACCATTTGCATGCAAAGTTTTTGTGTATGTAACTCAATTCGGATTTAATCACGAAAATACCAGCGATAATTCCATATTCCAATGGGACCAACTGCTGGAAAAATATTTGAATTCTCCAGTGTAACAACAAAAATAGAATCTTATGAGATTTCGCCCGCTTTTGACGTTTCTTTTTTTTTCACTCTACGAATGTTTGTTTGTTTACGTTTTTGTTTGTCATACACTCCGTGCTCCCTGCACTTTATTTAACGAAAACTGAATATGCATTTGATTTGTCTGCTTGATTTTTCCAGATTTTTAACAATAATAATAATAAGTTGAATGTTATTAATTCGGGGAAGCCCTGGGTAAAATGAGTGATTTGGATGAAAATCTAACATCAATATTGAGTTCGCTTATCGACACCGATGGCATTGAAGCACCAAATACGGGTGAATTACCGGATAATTCGTCGTTTACTGATAGTCGGCTGGATTTTGATAACCTGGCCAGTTGTATAACCGGCAATGACGCAAGTCTACATCAGGATAGTGATGAGAATGTTTCAAGTTTACTTGAAAGCCACTTGAATGAGTTATCGCAAGTGGAAAATAGCACAGATATTACTGATTCAACAGCAGAGAACTTGGACGATGTGACGCCATTCGATTTGGATAAACCCATTGAATCATTGCTTGAAACTACTTCGGCTGAATTCATATCACAAGAATGTCCTGAAACGCAAAATTCTCTCACCGAAAAAGTCCTCAATTCACAGATCATATCCACCACTTTAAACTCACCTTTAAATGAAACAGAAGAGATTTTTGAAGATGCATATCATCGTTCATCAAATGGAAACTCGAATGGAAAAGATAACATTGATTCCACAAGTCAGTCAAATATTGAATACAATTCACCTTCCAGTCAAAGCCATGGAGCATTTAATGCTGAATCAAATGAAATACAGACTCTGAACGAACTCAATGAAATCGAAACCAGTCAGATACCAGACATTTTCGAACCAAATTCGGATGTCGAAAATCAGGGAGCTGAAAATCAATCATGTTCAGGCGAAGAGGGGCCATGTGAAATGATCACTGCTGATGAAATTGTAAGTGAAGTTTCGTCAAAGGATGCGATTTCGAAAAACGAGGTCAAAAAACGTCGGAGGATACTGGTTTATAATGATGGCAATAGTGGCGGTAGCGAACTTGAAGAAGAACGTGAACGATTGTTACAATCAAAATCACCGACACCTTCGAATCATTCGGCTGAATTGGGCGAGAATGAAAATCAAATTGATCAATTCAATAACGAAGACTCAAATCACTTGTATAATAACTACATTCGCGATCCAAACGAAAAACCTGGTCCAAAATCAAAGAAACAAAGCACTCATCTTTATAATGCGCTTAAAGCAAAAGCTCTACTCGAATCGGCCATCGTAATTCCCGCACGTAAAAAGAAGAAGAAACGAGTCATTGACAGTGACGATGAGTACAGTGACTCTGCCTTAAATCAACCAATTGCCAGCGTCGATGATATCGGTTTAATTTCTGAAGACAATAATATTCAATCGTTATTCAACGTGTCCATAGAATTTGAACAAAACAGTTCAACTGTCTACGTTAAGAAAGAATATGATGCTGATTTGAAACCGATCATCTCCAAGTTATGCCTGAAAAATGAACTTGATGACGAACGAGCCAAGGATGATGTTGTAATTGAACCAGCTTTTATTAAAGTCGAGCCGTTATGCAGAACAACAACCCAAGTTAAGATAGAAAAACACAATGCCAACAACAATCGGCGATCTCATAAGAGGAAGGAGCCCAAAGACATTTTTGGCATATCTCTTAACGCGTAAGTTACGCATAAATCATTTGCATTTTTCGAGAATTTAGGTTTCCTTTTCGATTTCAGGCCATATGTTGATTCATCAAGTGATGAAGACTATTTTCTAGCAAATTCGACGAGCAGTAGGAGGCATCAGCACAACCACACACAGTGAGTGAATTTGGTCTGAATCAGTGCAAAGCAGTTGAGATAATTTGTTTCACTTTTTTTCTTTCAAATAGACATTGGGGTAACAAGATGTATTTAGCGAATCAACGAAAACAGAAAGGCCATATTCCAGATGATGTTTATTTTAACGCAAAAGGTGGGATATCGTTCGTTACCAAATAAAAATTAATTTGATTTGATCTATAATTAAAAGTCATGCATTTACAGTTCCGTTGCATGTTTTATATTCTTATGACGAATCATCATCGGATGATGAAAAGAATGAGTTCCCCGTAATGCATTCAGTGCAATCGCAAAAAACTTTCATCCAACCGACAAAGCGAACGCTTAACAAAATGCCGCCGGTTCATAAAATCATATCGCGACCATTGTATGGAAAGTCGACTTCAGGAAAGTCAGTATCATTGAAAAGAAATTGATGTTCACTCAGATTCGAATGATAACGTTAATGTTAATTTCTATTTGTTTGCCCAACATAGAATTGCTTCAAAACAGCCTGATCGACCGGCCAAACAAAAGAATAGTCAGCCAGCTTCAAAACCAACGGTCTTTGAACAATTGGATAAACTGAAACGATTACTAAGAGCCTCTGGAATCAAAAAGAATTTGAATGAATTGCTGAAAGGTAGTAATTTATTATTATTTACGACAACAAAATGTATTGAACTTGTTATCAAATAAATTTCAGGTAGTAAAACTTTTCAAGAGCGATGTGATCGGATTCGGAGTCTGCTGCATCGCAATGGCATCGAAGGCGAACCAACAATAGCGAAATGCAGAAGATTGAAAAAACAATTGAAATTGAAAGAAGAAATCGCTGGACTGGATCCAAATGTGATAATCGAATCGAAACAAGACGAAGGTCGACCGAAACGTTCGACGCGAATGGCGACCCGAAGGAATTACGTGTTTGACGAGCCGACGGAAACTAAAAACCAACAACAATTACAGCTGCAACCAATGGCAAAAATAGAAGATACTAGTACTTTGCAACTATTGCAAAATATGAAAGAATTCATTGATAGTGACTCGGAATACGAGGCCGAAGAACACAATCAGAGCAGCAATAACATTGATCCTGCAAATATGGTGGAAACAATCATCAGTACAAATGATATAGACGCTCCGCCCGATCAAATTTTAACTATTGCGCAGTCAACACAAGAGCTGCATCCAGTTGAAACAGCTGTCGAGATGACACCTGTAAATCCACAATGTACAATCACATTACAACCACTGTAATACGCAATCATTTATTTTACGAACTAAATCCAAACATTTGCTATGCATCACACTAGTTTTAACGCATTTTTTTTGTAATCGTTTATACAGCATTTTGTAAGATATTATTCAGATTGTAAATTTTCGTATAGATCGTTTATGTATGAAAATGAGGTCTTTTGCCACGTTTTTGGTGAATGAATTAAATTCAAATATTGATTTTTGAAGATAATCCGGGTTTGTGTGTCATTCTTAATTATCTTTTCCATTTGGTTGATTCAAAATTTTACATTGTACAGCGGAGCCAATGGTGCTAACAAATGGTTTGATATTGAAAATCGTTTTCTCATTTGCTTGTTCACAGCATATTTTGGAATTTTCATAGACTTCTTCGTGGTAAACAATAAACATTCATTTGAATCGAATTTTATTTCGAATGGTAAATTTACAGGAAAAATTTAACCGAACGACATCCATTTGCAACACTCAACGGAACATCTCTCTATATACCAAATATATCGAATGCCTGCTCGAAATACGATGTCATTTGGATTTTTGTGTTGCCTCAATTGCCCATTGATTTATTCAGCATTATTCTGGAAATTCGTTATGCAAATAATTTGGTCAAGCACGACGAATGAAGTTCAATACGGTCAAAGTCATGATGTTAATGGCATACGAATGGTCGATAGGTTTTCTACTATCCAAAAGAAAGTCATATAGAAAACGCACTCAGTAGATGGAAAATGGAATAGCACCAAAGCCAGTAGTTGTCACATTGGTTTCTTGCCTCTCAAAAATGCATGACAAATTAAAGGTAATTCAGTTGTCAATGCCAGAATATATGGGCAAATAAAAAATTCACCCCATTCACGGTAATTTACGATCGAAGAAGTAAACATGTGCAGAGGCAAAAGCGTAAATAATGCTCAAATAAAATAGCTCAATGGAAAATGTATTGAATTTCCGATATGAAAACAGACCCAATCGTTGAACAACGGCAAAATCCATTCAATTTTACTCCTTTTTTTCTTCGTTGGTTCTCATTATTATCTTAGACGAAATAGATAATTCCAAATATGAACTTAGCTGTCACTCACTGAATCATTTGTCACAAATAGAAACCGAAGAAGATAGAATGAAAAAAGGCCGCGTGCTCCACAAGCAATAACCATTGACAATGGAACAATCCTACGGAGAAATGTGTGTATGTGTAACGTAAATACAAAAGCGTCCCAACGCACTAATCATGAATTAATTGAAGAATCACCATCGCCATATGTGCAAGCATACACGTCGCGTTATTGAATCTACTCGCTCGCCCAACTTTTCTAATATATTCCAAATGCTCTTATTTATCTTCTTCTAAATGCTCTGGCCGAGTACTGAGTGCTTTGCCACCGACGCGAATCATCGTCGAGAGAGAGAGAGAGAGAGAGAGAGAGAGAGAGAGAAAGAAGAAAAAAGATACTGCCGAGTAATGGGCACAAACATGGTAAAGAGACTTAGGCCAATTCTCATTTTCTCCGCCCATGCCACTATTGTACGGAATAACAATTTGTGTCATAAAATTTTATATTGTCATCAAATTGCAGAAGATTGTACTTGTGAAACGGAGCTGTCGACCGGATAAGAAAATAATGAACAATTAAGTTGGAAAATCGAATTACTCACCGTAGAAACGAGTGAGCCAGTGAGGCCAATGTAGAAACCAGATAACGAATATTTACGTATTTAACCATTCGACCATAGAGTCTGCTTACTTACAGAGTCATCAAATGAGAAACAGTTATTAGAATAAAATTTAATTTGAGGGCCCGTACTGACTATTTCCAAGAAAGATTAACAGTTTAAATTGAGAGTTGAGTCCCCATCGAAAACACTGCGTCATTTCATTAAATTTATATCATTGGTAACTGTATAAAAGTATTTCAATTCTTAAACAATTTGCGATACGAGCGAATAACAGAGAGGAAGACATTAAATAAGTTTTGGGTCGAATCGAAGTCCTCATTCTAAGCGAAAAACATTACTCACGTGTCATAAATAAAGTTGAAATTTACGCAAATGAAAACAATAACATCGAAACTTCGAAGCAATAAAGACTCAATCCATTTTTATTGCTTTATTGTTTACCGCGCTTCGCGGTCATTTCAATATGTCCAACACTGAAACGCATTGGGCCGTATCCAAAGTATAAGGTAGCATTTCTTCTTCTTCTCCTTCTTTTTGCACAGTGAATTATTGCTTTTTCGGATATAAATCATCCAAATGGATACAACGAATTGAGTAGTTTGCAACACAGAATGATATAGCACAGATCTATGGGTGAGATTGAGAGTGGAGTATGTTTTTTCTTCGGTTTATATTTTTGGAAAGGCGAGTATGTTTTCTGATGACTCTGTTGGCGTTAAAGTAGAGTATGTTGTAGTACCGTCTAGCCTCCGCGGTCTTCATGGTTTTCGCGCAACTGATAAAAGATAACAACATGGTGTCTTCGGCAAAGTTGTAGTACTCGAGGTCTTCTATAACTAAGCTGAAAACAGTTATCTCTTATCTCTTATCAGTTGCGCGCAAATCGCGCACATAAAGCAAATTTTATATAGAAATTTTTTTTTCTTATCATTTTTCGCGCTTTTCGCGGAACTGATAAGAGATAAGAGATAACTGTTTTCAGCTTAGTTATAGAAGACCTCGAGTGCTACAACTTTGCCGAAGACATCAAGTTGTTATCTCTTATCAGTTCCGCGGAAACCGTGAAAAACCGCGAGGACCCGTTAAAAACGAACATACTCGCTTTTAACCATTTTTAAGTCGACAGAAACTTGCTCTTCCCTTTCGTAACAAAGTCAATGAAACATACACTACTCTCAATCTCACCCATAGAGATGTCGTTAGAGGAACACGACAATCGAACAGCATACCGTATGGAAATAACCATTTTTACCAAGGCGTGAATGTAAATATTAAATGTCCCAAACAATTATCCAAACCACATGGAAATGTGTATTCGAAATTGGAGAGTGTTTGGTCTAGAAAGCTAAAAATGTGAATTAGTCAAAGAGAAATGCTCCGGAATAGAACCAGTTCAAAAATTAGATATTTTCGCTCGACAAACAAAATGTAATTGAATTCACCACCTAAAAATGTTGTACACACGCCTTAAAGATACGCCGAAATACCAAACACCAGAGAACAAATCCAAAACAAACAAGAACACATCGTCAAACATTAAAGAGCGACAGAATGGAATCTGATTAACATTACAAGTAGAGTCTGCGGTGAAATACTGCATAATTTCGGCATTGAACTTGTCTCCTTTTCGCTATATAAATATTTTCCTGCTTGTATCCACACTCGTCATCTCTTCCACATTGACTGTAAAGCGGTAAAGCGTGTGTGTATATTTATACTTTTAACTCACGTGCATGTATCGAATTGAATAGCAACAGTCGACGATTGAAAATAGCATTGGCCAAATATGCTCTTCATTACGACAATATGCAGCGCTTTCAATTTATGGAAATGCAATTTACCGTTTTCTTGTGATTGCAAAAAACGAATCATATCTATGTACATTGTACATAATTCACCAATCGATGTTTGTAGCATGTGAGACAGCTGCATTGAATTACATCAAAGGAAACAGGTCAAATAGCATGTATCAAATTAAATACATGCGAATGCCAGAATTTCATTACATCACATCAAATGGACATCAATTTCATCTAATCATTTTAACCGAAGCATCTAAACATACACAGACACATACGCTTTTTTCTCCTTTCAAATTGGTCGGTCGAGGTGCTTCACAATCCACTTTTACTTAGAAAACAACCGATTGAAATGTGAATGAAATAGTAAAGGTTTTTCTTTCTTTGCAACCGACCTGAAAAGGGACTTTCCACAGATCACATATTCGAAACCGAGTTCCGGAGAGCGAGATGTGTAAGTGCAGAAAAGAGCAAGCGATATCAAGTTGTTTACCTTCACTCTTTGTATGTTCATTTATGCAGTCAAACTAAATGAATCAATGTGCTATAAGTTACAAGTGAACACACAGATTGTCCCGTTTTTGAGTGCGAGCATCTGTTTTGTTTCGGTACCCGAGCTGGGAATTACATAATTCGCCTCCATGGAAACCGGATGTAAAATGAAAATCGAAGCTCCTCCGCACAAGCGGCGAAATTTATTGGACCATAAAGCAAATTCAAAATTCATGCACACTTTTGAGTCTGCTTTCGATTCAACGGCGATGGTGGTTGGCATGGCTTTGAATGGATTTACAGCTATTTGCACTAGATGAGCCAAATACATCGTCATAAAGTTGTAGAACAACGTGAGGCATGGTCATCGTTTTAGCGCCCCTCAAAAAAGCCAACCATATTTTCCATCAAGAGCGACCAAACATTGCTACCTGAGGCGCCATTAGCCATCATGTATTAGATCAAACGCTCAGTATAACTTTACGGCAAAAGTGGAGGCGTTTCCTAAACGACACACAGTTTTTCTCATCTTTTACTTGGATGCGGATAAGAGGTAGCTTGATTGCTGATGCTTGTGAAAGTTTTGTGGAAAAATTTGTCTCATCTACGAATTGAGGGTCTCTCTCGCCTCATTGTGACTGACGAGATGAACGTTTTAATTTTATTCCATGTTCAATATTTGCCTACGGAATTTTGTCATGTCGACACAGCATGCGTTCGCATGTTTGTGAACGTGTAGGGCTGAAATTGTTTGCTTTTCCCAAGAAAATAATTAAAATTACAAAACATTGCCATAGAAATGAGCATTTGTTACTGTGGATGTGGCGGCAAGTAATTTTACTTACAGCACACAAAACCACATGTAGCTAAATGAACGAGCTGTAATTGTGTTTAACCGCCAACCACAAAAAGCCGTGAATTTAGGAAATAACCAACGATACATTTGCACGTATACATAGGAGAAAAATCATTTTTATCGCCATGTGTGTGCCCATTCTGGGCTTAAACGATAATATGGTGTCACACAGGACCAACTATTTTCATTGTAAATGTCGTGTTTGACGTTGCTTATGCAAAAACCGTCTGCATCTGATTGTCTGCCGATCAAGCGACATGAAATTAGAACGTTGTACGGATGTTGATGTGCTTGGATTAATTTTATTGCTTTATGACTTGTGCGACGGGGTATTGGACAAAAATTCTGCTGTCGAAAAACAAAATAACCGATAGATACGACACTATCGAGGAGGTCGAGACATAAAACCCATCATTACGTTGTTGACTATCCCTTCAAACACTGCAAGATGTCCATAACACAACTTATATTGCATTATTGTTTTATACATATAGTTTTGGCGTTCGACTCGTTTGCACTCGAAATAAAATGTCCAAACGATTGGATTGGAAGCAAAAATAAAGTGAAGAGGATACACACACACATAATCGACCGTCCACCCGCCCCATTACGACACAACAACATAAATAATCATTTCGAAAAACAACAGAAATATTGTGTTGTTGTTCATATCATAAATTAATTTTTTCTCTCTGCCGAGCGCCAGAAATAGTGAACATGAATAATTGTTGATAATGATTAAAGTCCAGCAATTTTCCTCTGTTCAAGTGTTAATCACTTAACGAATTTATTCGTAGGCAAAGTGTGTGAGATTTGACGGAATAATGCCGTGGGATACTCATCAGAGTGGCATTTATTATTCATATCACATCGTTATGGACATTTACTCGAAGAAATTAGATGGATTTTCAGTGAGTTAAGCGTAATGAAAAGAGGAAAAAAATAATGCTATCAACAATGAACACGTACAGCGTTTACTCTTTGAAGGCATAAATAAAGTGAAATGAGATTTTTCCACGGTTAATTTATATGCTTTGAAGCGCTTTCCATTTTCGATGGCGACTTGTTTTTTGCCTCCCGATTTAGACACATTCTTTTCGGTCGAAAGAAGCTTGACTCTCGAAAATCTGCAAATAAGATTTGCTTTCTTCATTTTTCACTCTCATTCTCTCGCTCTCGCTCTTGGCGCTGTCGTTGCGCGCCACACTCCACAGCACGCATCATCGATATAAACAAAATTCTCCGAATGTACGAGCATCTATCTCTCTCGTGCCGAAATTCATTGTGCTCATAGCAATTGTATAATATAATTTTGATATGCGGAATTTTCTCCTGCGCCGCATCATAAAAAGTTCAACATTCGCTTGCCGTAAATGTGTACAATGGTCGTTCCTTTGCAGCTGCCACGCACACACTGTATAGTTTTTCAATGCAACATATCGATAGCATTAGAATGTTTTTTCCTGATTGACGGGAAGCTTTGAGTGCCGTTGTTTATGCTGTTTTTCTTGCCGCATCGACGCATCGGTCGGTGTGCAAGAGGGAAAAACTCATCGACCGCTTGCCACTGCCTACATGTGTTTTGTATTGTTCGAATGTATGCGATAGGCACGCGTCTGCACATGGCGTATGCTGCCACAGCTCGGAGAAAATCTGCGAACACATCGGATGGTTCAGTTGTGATGCAGACGTTGTGACGAACAACCGTAAAACCCAGTGTAGCTCGTGCTGATCAAATGATTTTCATCGTTCGGTCCCTTTGTCTCTTGCTCCAACTAGTAAGAAGAAATCATCTCGTGACACTGTGCATCGGGTGAACGTTCTGTCCAAAGTGGTTTTTCGCTAAAATATTTTCTCCCTGCAATGTGTGTGTTTATGTGAGTATTTGTACCAAGTGAAATTGAATTTTAGTGCAACTTTATGATTGTCTCTCAAGCCGAAAATTGTGTTCGCATTTTGTTTGGGTGTCACAAAAATAAACAAGAGCAACAACAGCAGACACAGCGAATATTATGCATCACTTTTGAACCAAATACATCCATCTCAGGTTAAAGGTAATGGGTGAAAAACAATCGATGTCGCATTATTCTGTTTATTCTTTTGGGACTGATGTGCTTGAACCCCATCACAAATACAAATTCTAATATTTTGGACACATTTTACCTTTTCGTCCACTGTCAACCATCTGCTGAATGAATAACATGTTTTTATTTGGAAAACTCACAGAAAACAGAACCGTAAAAATGTTTTCGTGTTTTGTCGACAGGAAAACATTAAGAGAAGGAGAGAAAGAGATAAAAAAAAAGGAAATTCGCAAACCCAAATCGAGCCAAATATTGGGTTTGAATGACACGAGGAAAAAAATAGGCAAACTCATGATGTTAGAAAAATGAGATTGAGACACAAACGGAATTTATGTAAATTTTTAATGTTGGCGAAACGAAAGGAATCGTCATTTTATTCAATGCTATTGTCTGTTTTGTAGCTCGAGGACAATGGATGAAATATGGGCGCTCGTAACCGTGTGTATGTTGGTGATTTAGTTTGTACAATCAGTGCGAAACCGAGAATACTAAAAGAGAGAGAGAAAAATAAAAAAGAAAATGATTTCGAACTTTTCATCCTTTATATTCGAGTGAAAATGCCATGGCAGTGGCAGTAGCTCACGTACAAACGACAACCAACACACACTATTTGATTTATGTAATTATAAATTCAAATTTATTCATATATATATCGCGTTGTTTCTCTTCGCAAAGCCCCATATCAACAACAAATCAAGTGTAGCAAAATGATTAATGTAATTTCCCCCAACGAATGATGACAATCATCATTTCAACCGAATCAAATGGCACAATCCTCCGATTCTTTTACATGATTTTCCACATGTTCCATTCACTATAATTTTCACAATTTCTCTCTCTCTCTCTCTCTCTCGCTGTCTGTGCCGGAGATGAAGGAGAAGAAAACACCGGCGAACAAATGAAATGTACGATTACGATATGAAAATGTGTGTGTAACATTCTTAAAAGTATATTTATTTTTACACACCATGAGCAATGAACATGCGAGAGCACAAAACAAACTTGGCGGCAGCAGATGTAGTGGCTTTGCGAGTGAATCACATACACGCACACACATCTTGTAGCAATAAACAAATGAAATTTGAGAATCTACTGTTCTACTGTTCCTCTGTTCATTTAATGACAGAATGCTGTTATAATAATTATAGAAGCAGCAAAATTGATTTTCTATTCACAGACGCGCGCTTATGTGAATGAGTGCATCTTACAGCCGACCGAAGTGTTGTACACACATCCTAGAAAAGTAAAATGTGCTCTTTACTTAAAGTAAAGATTACTATCTCGGGATCTGTTTTTATTTTTGTGCTTGTGCATATTTAAATTTAACGGAGCATAAGTCTTTCGGGTTCACGTTGCATACCGCCAACGAGACGTCAGAGATAGAGGAAGAGAGAGCGCGCGAAAAACTGGCACATCATGGTAAAATAGTCGAAATGAGAGTGATATGATAAAAGCATCACACACGCATCGGGTGGAGTAGACAGATGAAATGAGATATGCGCGCTGTCTATTTGCTTCCAAATACAGATATATTTTTTTCGGGCGCACATGAATGGAAGTGAAAAAAAAAGAGGCAGAAAAAACATCCATCAACATTGAATATCATACTGACAAAAAACTTCCAACAATATAAATTCGATACTTTTTTCCACTCGTATATCCGATGTAATCTTCCTTTAGTATACGTTCTCTAGGGTTTATTTGCAAGTTCATATTCATCTCTATTATCATTATTTTTTCACCATGCCATGTCATATAAATTAGAACCGAATTTCGAATTTTAACATGGGCAAACATTCGACGAATAAATGCGAATGTAAAGAGTTTTGAGTGAGATTGAATAAAAGCCCGTTAACATGAAAGAGCAAAAAATTACAAAACAAATTATGAAAATTTTCTTTCATAATAAATGTATAATTCATGCGATGAATAGCATGCTTCATATTACATTCTTGAGTGCGCACGGCTTGACAGTTAGTTGGAGTCAGAAAATCAATTTCAAATTGTAACCATTCCATTTTTGTTGGAAAATTAATTTCAAAGAACACTTTAGCACACCTAGAAGCATCTCAGTGTGAGTTGTGAGATGTGGCAGTTACCTTCGGCGAACGATTATTTTTAAAGGACTCTTTTATCAAAATAATTTCTTCTTTTCTTGTGGCACCCGTCTTGCCTAGTCGTTTTCAAGTCTCTTGTTATCGTTGAATCAATCTCATCAAAAGTTTTGCACCTTCAATTCTATGCACAGAGAAAATGAAGCGAAAAAAAGGGAACGAATTCCCGTGAAATGGTTTTTATCTGTCGATTGTTCTCGGGCGCACTTGATATACCAACCGAATGGGCTTGATTGTGCTTTACTCTAACGTTTAATCGATAAAACAATGGCACACAAGAAGCAAACTCGATTATAGGGCCCGGTTTTTCACAATATGTGTATATGTGTGCAGATCGGCAACGTGGCTTGAGCTCAATTTTCGAAGTTTCATGCACAGGAAGTTTAATTTTAACATTGTGCTCTATTTAGTTTTTTTTGTGTTTTTGTTTTTGTTTTCTTTTTTTGCCATCTGTTTGCATTTCGTCGGTGCCGTGCACATAAATGTATTATTTTATGGTGTATACCGATGGCAATAAAATAAACCTTCTCGTTTCGATCGTTTTCCCGTTTTGCAATGCCGTTACACCGTGAAAACCATTTAAAATTCTATGATGGTGTTTTGCTATGTGTGCCGATGAGGCATAATTTGCCGTTGTTGTTGCTGTTGCTTTTTTTTTTACTTTCGTCTTCACTGCTATTCCAGCACTGGCTAAGCGCTTCGCCCATATTCTACCCTGCTCTGCTGTAGAGACGTTTTATATGCACGTACTTTATTAATTGCTAAATGAACGAAGCTATGTGCCTACACTATACGCCTCTCGTATCGCATTCCGATGCAAATAAACAATAAACAACCAATTAAATTGCGTATATTGCGACATGTTTGCTTTTTGCGCTCGCTTGCTCTCTCTCACTTTCTCTTTCTCTCTTTCTCTTCCAACAAATATAAAAATCGCCCTTGTTACATGCAATTTAAAGATTTGATTTAATTGGCTGTGGACGAAGAAAGCGTGATGTGGTTCTTTGGTAATTTCCACAGTTGGCTTCAATGTGCTCTGGCTAATTGGAAGCCAATTTGATAATAGAGAACCAAGGATTTTTTTCCACTTTTTCTCTCCATCTTTTTCCTCTTGCTCTTTCTCGCACTCTATCTGGCTTTCATGTTTAATTTGATCGTCCATTGGTCAAAAGCTCTTGTTACGTTTCCCTTGGTAACGTTTCAATAAATTATTCGGCAGTTTGTTTATTTCGTAACATCATTTAAATGCCTCGATTTCACACAAATCAAAAAAAAAAAAAAAAAAATTCAATTCATTTCGATTTTTTCGGTATGGATCCGTTGCTATCAATTTGCGTTGGAAATTTTCTCCCGTATAAATTTCACTCTTGAGAAAATCAATCTTATTCCGTGTATTTATTCAATTTATTATTGTCTGCTAAACATTATATTTAAGACTCATCAACACCCATGCATGCCGTTCTATGTGAGCACATTGTGTACCATTTTTTCTTCGTTTATGAAATCAATAAAGATTTTGTCGCTTTCAGCATAAGACGTACAGCTCTGGATTGTTCACTTAATATAATGGCGGTGGTAACGCAGACACACATACGCACACGGAGACACATACACTCAACAGTCGCCATTTCTTTGATTTCTTCTGCAGTTGAGTTTCATCTGATGCTATTTTCTTCTAACGTCTTTTGTTCCGAGCTTAAGTTTGTTCCTGTTGCTGATAGTGCTGCTGCCGCCGTTGCCGCAGCCATTGTCATCTTCTCTCTTCTTCCTTTATCACTGTGATAATGTGCTTTGTGAACATCAGAGTGTCTTCTTCCACTTTTCTCTTGTTTGCTCAGATCGGTTTTTCTTGAAACTTGAAGACAAACGCATTGCTGGATGGCGAGCTACTCTCGATTCAATACTCATTGCTCACATACAATTTACTCGTATTCTTCTTCCTAGATTCATTTCCGCATTGAAAGCGCTGACAGGGCCTTGTGACACGGATAGAAGAGACATATTTTTGTTTCTTCTTTTTTTTTTTAGGAAAATAAAGGGAACTAAATAGAAAGCAAAATAAGGCACGGTAAGTTTAGCAGCCGTTTGGACTGCTCCAGTGCCATAAATATTACAAATTCTCGCAGTCTGTTTATTTTTCTCCTTGTTGTCGTTTGATTCTATTTTGTAATCGCTGTTGGATTTGGCACAGCAAATCCCCGCAGTAAAGCTTCATTGTTTGGCTTTAGTTGCGGCAAAACTGGTAGCATTCGCCTCCAAAACGATGAAAAAATGGCAAATCGTTTTTGTTCGCGTGTTTGCAATGCACACGCCACTACCAACACCGTCATCATCCATTCGGAAATCCAAAATAAACGAGCCCCATATCAAATGCACACACAAATAAGAAGGGCGAGAGAAAAATAGAACCAGAGAAAAACTCAAACAAAAAAAAAAAGAAGAAGAAAAATATGAGCATCATTAATTATAAACTAAATGAATAACAATGTGCACGTCGAGCAAAAAGTGGATTTAGGTATGGAGCACGTTACATAACGTGAATAAAACGAGTGCAGCACAAACAGCCATTCAGTATTATTATCGGCAAACGGTTATACGTAACATGAGCCCACTAAGCCAGTCTGTATGTTGTCTTGGTGGCGACGGCGTCAGCGCCGGTGGCTTTTATCATCAATGGATCGGGCTATCGATAGCGCACTGTGCTCCGAGCACAAACCATATTTCAAATTCCAGAATATGTTTTGTGGTTCATGCATATCTCCATATGTATAATCTACAGTGTGCAATATCTTCGTTGTTGTGCGTTTGACATGTTTCAATGCTACCATCGCAAATAGAACTGCATACGTTTGCCCGGCAGCACCTATATTTAACAAAAAATCAACCCTGAAAAACTCGAATCCAGCCAAAAAGCGGTGAACTCGATGTTTTCTTCGCATAAATTCCAATCGGTTGGCCATTTGCGAGAGCGATCGTTTTTAATGACGTCTTATACTAAATTCAATTCAAATATCCAAACATTATCTTCATTTAATGAGACTCTTCGCATACATATCACACACACTAATTTCCTGGAACACACAGACACACACACACTCTCTTTTTCTCGTCCCGAAATGAATAGTCAATTATTAATTGATTGAATTTAGTCACTGTGCGCGCAAACACATACACACACAGGCATCTCAAATGTCTTGGCACTTGAGAAATCGAGTAAATGAACGAACAAATATGCAAGCAAACGAACGAAACGTATAGATACTAACTAGATATATCGATGTGAACAAGGATGCATGACATACACATGTGTTTATATTGGATTAATTTACCTATTTACATCCGATCTACTTGGTTTGTGTTCACTTTTTATCCAATTCTACGTTGACGATAAGCTTGCCTGGATTGCATTCACTTCGTTCTCCGTTCAGTAAGCTCATTCAATTTAAGCTAGTTTGAAAACTAATCAATGATTTATATATGCACGAAGTATATTATTCAAGTGGAAAATACAGTGATTTGACTATCAAGCACAAGACATCGACACATGTCTTCATCGCAAACAGCTTCCCTTCGAGCAACAAAGCGAAAATCAATACCAAACTCATTTTGACTTTCATATGTATCACATCCCAAATGGGAGAGAGAAAGAAAAACGGAGCAACACAACAAACACACACACACACACACACAAAATAGCAACACTGGGTGGTTGGACGTCATGATGTGATTTATTTCAATTGAACACCATCACCTCAGAGACTTGGTGCACAGCATTGATAAAAAGTTGTGCACATGACGCTAAAATCGGCTGTGAACGTGTCGCTGTTCTGCATTTGAAACAAGCATTTATGTACATAAACAGGGATATTTGACGGCTTTTGAATTTTTAATTACGATAATTTATCATAACATATCTCGTAATCTCAGACGAATGGAGTGCGCAAACAGTGTGCAAAACGAATTGAGTTGAAGCGAGGGAGAGCTTGACAAATGTGCTCTTGTCTCGTCGCATATCACACAAAGTAACATTGTTATCATGACCATTTGCTTGAGTACGTCATTTTCAAAGATGTGCATGTGCGATTTCGAAGGACTTAAGTAAGTGAACATTAGGAGCAAATCAAATGGAATGGAAAGGAGAGTGCTGTACGACGAAGAAATCCCTTATCCAATAAACGTTATGTTCAGAAACAGTTTTGCACAACAAACACTTTACAGCAGCGTGTCACAGAAGTAACATGAGTCGAAAATATATGCTTGACCTTTGAAATGCCTTTCAGCCTGAATTTATTGAATTTCTTATCCAAAACACCAATTCCGGAATTATTTTCGTATATTTGACGTGGTTTAAAGATCAAGCTTACCATCAAAAAACGGATATAATGGATATTTTATCGATTCTTTTTTAGAGTAATGCCTTTGATTTGATGCGCACAAAAATTTGCAATTCATTCGCACACTAACAGCAAGCAAGCGAGCGAACGAGCGATTTTCGTTGGTGATGGTTAAGTCGTTCATCAAAATGTAATGGGAAATCGATTTAGTGGGTGGAGAATGCGATAACATTGCGTACCAGTGAATATGTTTACTTTGGGATTTAGTCAATATTTGAGACAATTTGTTGATGATTAGCTCTTCGGGCTTCTATGAAGAGTTGAATGACATAATGAAAGGGAAAAAAATTGTCGTTAAAATCATTACTCATATCATATATGATAAAATTATTTTGAATGAGCTTGAATAGAATTTCACAGCTCACTGCATTGAAATTGGGAGTAAAAACCATCCCCCATTTTGTACGCGTTTGATTAAATGAGCTTAATTAGCAATCTTCGTTTCTATCTCAAGATCTCGAAAGTTTGAATTTTCGCCTGATTTATAAGGAAAAAATGTGTTTGGATCCTCGAGGGTAGTCGTGCATTTTAAAAGAAGCACGAACATAAAACACAGCACGACTAAAAACCATCAATTTTCGCAACACATACAGTAGACAAAAAAAAATGACGCTCACTTTCCATGCAAATTAGCTTGATAGCAAGCTCACTAAACGACATAATTTAAGTGACAGACAACCATAAACGATTTATGCGACGATCCTTTGTAGAATGTTTGATTGTTGTGACTCTGCAAGTTTGAGCAGTATATTGGTAGAACGAGCTCAATGAAAAAAGAGAAAAAGTCACCGAAACAAGTGATTCGAACCAAAGAAACAAGGTAATCAATCACGTCAAAATCACATTGTGTTCGTCGGTTGACCAACAATTTTTTAAGAAATCCCGATATCAAAAAGCAAAACATTTCAGCGAAAATCGTTCGTATTGATTTTAATGTCACGTACTAAAAAGTGATTGGCAGAAATTTGGTAATGGCAAAAATATGTTCCACGAAAAACTGCTCCGAATAAGTGTGGGCAACAACTTGATTCACCAAAGAAAAATAAGCTTGTATGCCCTTTGGTCTTGACTTTTCACATTTTCCATTCTATTCTTCTATTCTGTTCATCGTAAACACCGGTGAATATTTTACATTCTCTCGTCACTAGCAGTTCCACCAAAATGAATTGTGGAAAGTCATCTATCAAGTGTATGGTTTCGATACGGCGTTCGCTTTGATTTTATGTCATGTTCTTTTTTTTCAATATTGGTTTTTGTTCGATGCGGTTAACTCAATTCTCTATACACATTGAATTCATTTGCAGACGCTGTGGTATGCATGCATTCAACTGTGCTTGCTGTGTGCTCAATGTTCCGTGCTGAATGAACGTTCTGTGAAATGAAGAAAACAAGGTTTCCATCAAAAAACCATAATTCCATTATGATATTTAATGAGAACGAGCAATTTTTATGAGAGAAAGAAAGAGTGGTGTGCAGTGTGCACAAAGGGTTTGTCGATTGAATGGCAAAATGAAAATTAATCGTTTTCACACGATAGAGCACCACTGGCCAGACAATGCAATAAAAATATAATCGACTTCTTGCGATCTGCGGCGTGGCAGTAGCTACTCCAACTTCATTCACGATGGAATTTTATTCGTTCTCTCTCTTTCTCTCTCTCTCTCTCTCTCTCTCTCTCTCTATTTCTCTCTCTCTCCTATAGACTCGGTGTGCATAATATATTTCCTTGATTTCGGAAATGAAGTAACGCCTGATATTTTCATTTCCCTTCTAGGTACATGGTTCACTGTAACAAATTTCTAGTTTGTATGTGTGCCAATTCACAACAGCCAAATCAATCGAAACACTGTGTACGCCACACTGCCGTAGCTGCAATATATGCTTTATTCACATGTAACATTTGCTACATTCAGAATCGAATTCAAGGTTTTTTTTCTCCAATTTTATGGCGTATGTTTTTGCCATGACCATTTCTGTTCCGTAGGTACATTTCGAATTTTGATATGCTGCTCACAGTTTTGTTTTATCGCTATTCATCATATATATATGGTGGTCTATGGTGGAACAAATTTCGATTTGTCAACTGGATGGCATTATTTGGTTTTTTCGTCGTTCTATTTTCGTACGCACATCTGATTTGTGCTTCGTGCAAACTTAATACGAACAGTAAACATGGCAGAGTGAGCGTTTTACACTTTATGCTGATGCTTGGAATATAGATTGAATACGAAGAGAGAAAGAGAGCCCTATACTTATTCGGTCCAGTATGGCTGGGGTATATTATTATTATCATTTCTTCTTGAGTGATTTCGAAACGCATCAATGCGCAAAAAGCGTTTTTGTACCAGAGCATCCACAATTTGGGCTCAATCATATTGGCTTTTCCAATGTTCTCTCTCTGCCAAAAAAAAAAAATGAACACGTAGGATAGCGCAACGAATCGATGTTGTGATCAAAATAGAATGCAAATGGTTGTGTAATAATCAATGTGTTCCGTATATTAAGTAATTTGTTACGCAACGTTATGTTGAGTGGGGTTGTTGTTGCAAGTCCATTCCGTTATTTTTTTGGTTTATTACAGATTATGATTTCGAAACATACTAAATGTTTTTTTTTTTAATCTGTGCATCTTCGTGTATCAAGTTCACATGTGAACATGATGCATCATAATCATTTCACTCAACAGGAAAACAAAAACAAAATGTTCTATGAAAAAATCGACTGGAATTATACTTTATGTGAAACATTTCATTCTCATTCTCACACAGTAACCCTGTAACCAGGGTGATCATTTTCTCTTCTGAAGGCGGAATCAAAAGATGAAATACCGCAGCAAAAACTCTGTCACCCTGCCATAATTCGATTTTGATACACACGCATTTATTTACTCGTTCGGTTCAATGCGTCATAAAATAAAGCATAAAACACACTCGGATGCTATTCATGGAAAGTGTAATTTCACGCACAGATTCGCTGTTGGCGGTACTTCGGCGTTGAAATCAAAGTAAATCTCAGTTTTGAATTTAATTATGCATAAAATGTGCTCGCTATTTATGTGATTGAATTCGAGATTGTTTAGTTAGAGTAAAAACCCAGCATTCATGGGAAATACTACACTTGCTCTCTCTCTCTCTCTCTCTCTCTCTCTCTCAACGAGATGGAAATAGGATTTTTAATAACATGATTGTTGAACACAGCCAATCTACGATAAGCCATTCCATTCCATTTGATTTTATGACAAACATGGTCTTTGTTGTGTGTTCTTCTGTTTATTTACAGAATTGAGTACGTGAAATAATGTTGTTGAGATGGCGTTACGGGGATGGCGACTCTTTGGAGTGGCCGGTACAATATTTGCATATGTTGCCGGTATTTTACTGCTATCGATCATCAGTCTGAACAATCCCCATCAAAGACGTCTGCGAAACGGCCATTACAGCAGCGATGTAAGTCTCTCGAGTTTATGTATGCGTGTGGCGTACAAAAAATCCAATTTCAAAATTTATAAATCGCAATTAATTTTATCTCTTTATCTCTGTGTGTTCTGGGCCATTTACTTATTTGAATTTCAGTCGTATGAAGTGTTTAAGCACCGTGAATTGGGAATATTGAGTCGTCGTCCGCCGTTGCAATGGTGTCGAGAGTTACGCTATTTAACCGATCCAGAAAAACCATCATTTGCTGCACAAACAACCACATCGAAATCCTATAGTTCATTCTCCGGACATTTTTTGAAAAAATATGAGAAATACTTGCGCAAAGAGCCAGCAGCATCCAGCGTTACAAATTCGAATGCTTCCTATCGAAAATCAAATAATGACATATTAACTGATAGCCATCAATGGATTGTTCGCACAGATAATAATGGCTTCCATTCGAAAATTGCAAATGAAAAACTTGCTCGAGGAATTAAGCACAACCATGATGTTGATACGAAACGTGTTTACTACGAAAAATTATGGCCTAAAACAAACAATTTACGAAAGAAACTGGTGAAAGCGACTGAAACACCCGAAACCGGACTTACGGCATTAGCTTCGTTTCCAGTAAGTTCATTTTGGTAGAATTTCTCCTCTTTTTTTTTTGGTTCGTACCGAAAATGGACAGTCATTTGGATTAAATTGGATTTGATTGGACCGAAAATAAATGACTCTATTTTGTTGATAGGGTTCGGGAAACACATGGCTTAGGTACTTATTACAGCAAGCGACGGGCATTTATACAGGTAGCGTTTATAAAGATTTTGGTTTGCTGAAAAGTGGTTTTCCAGCTGAATACGTCTGTAATTCGTCCGTTCTGGTGATCAAAACACATGAGGTATACGCTTCGCGTGCACGTGTGTGTGTGTGTGTTCTAAAATAAATCGCAGCATTAATCGGATAAATTTATTGTGGTTTGATTTTTGCAGTGGGGTCCAAACGTATGGCAACAGTTTTCACGTGCGATTTTATTGGTGCGAGACCCCGATAGATCAATATTAGCCGAATTCAATCGCCAGAGCGGTGGACATGTCGGTTTCGCTTCACCAGAAAGATACAAGCGAACGAAAGGACGATGTAAGCCAGCCAACCAATTCAAACGGCATGACATAAAAAATTGACGTTGATTTACATTGATTCAATTCGTTTTGATTTCTTTCTTGGTCTTCGTATTTCTTCCATAGATTGGCAACAATTTGTGACAAATAAACTGTATGCGTGGGAACAAATGAATTTGCAATGGGCAAAAAATTTCACAGGTGATGTTCACATCGTATATTACGATGATTTAGTTAGTAACGTCGAAGGGACGCTACGCGATATTTTACACTTTCTAAATATTCCAATTGATAAGGTACTTGAGCGCTGATTTATTCCGACCATTACGATGGACAATCAAATAACAATATGTTTTGTGTGTTTTGTTAATTAGGATTTATTCAACTGTGCGATGTCTCGAAAAGAAGGTATCTACAGGCGAAAAAAGCGTATCATGGCATTTGATCCATACACACCCGTCATGCATGAAGTACTCGAAACGAAGAAGCGGGAAGTTTACTCAGCTTTAGGACGCTACAAATATTAGTTTCTACTTTTAGCCAACGTTTTTCAAGGAAATCAATAATATGTTTTCTGTATGCAGAATTGTGAGAAAAAAAATCAAAATGATTGAAATCAAAAGAAATGCAACAAGATATTGTATATTTAGAGATAGACTGCGGACAAAATTCTCAACTCATTCTAGGATTTTGGAACGAAAAATGCAACCAAATCCAAATGTACACACATTTATAGCCAAAGCTTGTAGCTTATTAACGAAACTTCCTTTAAAAGTAGAAGAAAACTAAACATTTGTGTAAACAACTATTTATTTATGCACCTCACCCTATTTTATGGGAAAACGAAGGGGATTCCTAACGTTTAATCGGACGGAAATTGGCGTGTATGTGGATCAACAGTATTTGTTGTCAATGGCACAGTATTTAAATTGATGTGATTAAGTCGTGTTCAAATGAACTCACCCAAAACAAATTTCTTACATCATACCGTAGTATTTAACTAGGATATTTATACGTCTCTAGATAATAACGAAAAAAAAACATACACACAAATTAGGTCTATTTAAAAAAAATTGGAAAATAATTGAATCGAAATCATTATCTTCTGGGATTGAGTATTTAGAAATTCGTAGTTTATTTCTGATTCATTAGGAATAGATTGCAGACTCTGAACAACCAGTGAAATGCGTCGCTAAACATAGAGTTGAACAAGTTGTGCATTGTTTTGTTGTTTGCTTTGTAAGATGGTTCGTGATCTATATATTATTGTTGTTCATTTTATCGAAAATGCCCAAAAAGCCAAATGGCATAAGCTCTATGTGAATACTTTCAATTGATCTTGATTTCATGACGATTATTCAATTTAGTTTAATTTTTAAACAATTTAATTTTAAACACTTTGTAAATATGTCCTCCAAATTGTTTATTGATTTAAATATTTATTTTATGATATACGCTTTGTCTCAGTTCCTATGAAGGGTTTAAATTGCATCGTTATTTTCTGTTCAAAAGACATAAGAGAAAAAACAGGCCTACATAAAACGAAATTGTAGTAAACAAAAATGAATAATTGCTTTGATTTATTGTACAACGGAACGAATGAATAAAAATATAAATTGAAAAAAAAAAACTGTCGAATGTGTTTTGAATTCTTCTCGATGGAGACGCCGAACATCTATTCCGAAGCGTTCATGTAAGTGTAGTAATGTAGACCTTTCATAATTACTTTGTTCATGTTGTTGTTTATGTGGAGACTTGACGCTTCTGTTGTTGCCCATGTATTTGTGTTTGTCAAAACGTTTTGAATTGTCATAACCTTAAATAGTGAGTGAAGCACGGAAAACTACACATTATTCGCGCTCTGTATAACCAAACAAAATATTTTAAAAGCAAATTTTATTTTGTTGCATTGAAAAAATTACGGAAATTAACTAGCGAAGATGTCAATTGGCGTTCCAATTAAAGTGTTGCATGAGGCTGAAGGCCATATTATTACTTGCGAAACAATAACCGGCGAAGTGTATCGCGGTAAATTGATTGAAGCCGAAGACAACATGAATTGCCAAATGACTCAAATCACCGTCACCTATCGCGATGGTCGCACAGCCAATTTGGAAAATGTTTACATTCGTGGTTCGAAAATTCGTTTCCTGATACTGCCCGACATGCTGAAGAATGCGCCGATGTTTAAGAAAGCGGGACCGAAGGCTGGGACGGCGGGCAGGGGTAAATCGGCACTGCTGCGAGCGCAAAGTAAGACCATTTCACATATTTTCTTCATTTGTTATTTTTATATTTTGTGAAAAATTAACTAACAAATAAATTGAATATACAGCGGCGACTCGAGGGAGGGGAAGGGGCGGTGCGGGATCTTCAAAAGGAGCTGGAGCTGGACGCGGTGGTGGTGCATGGCAAGGTGAGTCAATTTTAACGATACCAACACCAAACAATCATTATTATCTCATTATGAAATTTATTTTGGAAAAAATCATTTCGTTTTGCATTTCTAGGTGGTCCAACAGCAGGACGTGGCCGAGGTGGCTTGTAAAAGTGTATCTTTGCGAATGATAACACATCTCCCTTTTCAAATACACACATCGTATAAATGTTTATTCATAAGCTCTTAATAAAATACAATAAATTGTTTGAAATCAAACAACCATGAGTAAATTCAAAAAATTGTCACTTTTCTTTCACATTTGGTTGAATTCAATTGGAGAAAGGCGATTATGATGTTTCCAGCACATTTGGAACATAGGAGTGCAGAACATTAAATCCATTATGCAGGATGCACACCTTCTTCGTTCCACAGTCCAGTAGAAAATGAGCAAACTAAAAACAGAATTAAATTATTATACACATTGGATGGGTTTCATTCCGTCCATTTTTTACTTACCAAAATTGCATTTTCATGCGAATTACTGGCAATAACAACGACTCGATTATTCAAACGTCCTTCTAAGTCAGGAACATTGAGTGCTTCTAACCTCACATCGCTCAACGATATTGAGGCAAAGGGAATATTTATACTGTCTTTCAAATGAGCTCGATTATATTCCAAATGGCTTCGAAGGTCAATGACAGCTATTTCTTCCGGTTTTTCCTTATTCAGTTCAATCACATTATTCGCACTAATTCTAGGACAACGCTCATCTTGTAAATCTTTCAATTCGATCCCATTTATATCCTGTTCAGTACATTTAGTTCGTTAATTTTTCAGCGGAGTCATGATAAAAGTTTGCAACTTACAAATTCGCCTGGTTCATTGTCTCGTAACACATGCTTTCGATAGGTTACACTTTTTGGAGTTGAAACATACATTTTTTGCGAGGCCACAACGCATGTTTCCATCACAATATCTGGCAGATCCGAAAATAGTAGGATGCAATCGTTAAAGCATGAACTCAGCAAAGTGGTTTTAAGCTGTTGCAAAATCGATATTCCGATGAATATCGGATAAGAATTGTCACCAAGAAGCAGTTTGTCCCACAGATGAATGATTTTATGAAGTGGAAACACATCTGAAAGAATTAATTAGTTTTATAACTGAAATTATTATGTGGGTGTTCATGTATCTTACGTGAGAACATAGTCAAAAACCACGGGATAGCAAATAATTCCGGGATAAAATTGATGTCTCTTAGATGATTTGCTAAAATCGGTTCATGAAATGCAGTCAATTGGGAAAATTTGCTCAAATATTCCTTTATAATGGATGAATTGTCTTTCAAAAAGAACCATTGCAAGTATTTCGGAATAAATTTATACAAACTGAGGAATGCACGTTCTAAAAAAACGGACAAAGAAAAGTGTTAGAAAACTGTTTCTAAAGTACAATTCGTTTTGCATCAGACACGCTTACCCTCGTTGTTGAAATTAAGATAGAGAAATGGTGCGGTTAATGAGTCTAACCCTTGCCAGTAAACGTATTGAGGATGGGCTTTTACCCATGCTTTAAGCAGACGCTTCAATTTCCGATGACCTTCTGGCGATGATAATAGCTCATCGTATTGGTGACATCGTGGAATGTCAACGTCAATCTGACGATCGGTCGCAGTTGGTGTGTATTTATCAATCGCTTCGTAGCTATTATCTTCCAGCACATTCAGTAAACACGCCCAAATATCACCACGCAACAGTGGTGGAATATCAATTTGCGCTTCAGCAATGATCCTATCTCGCGTATAGGGATAGCCCTTTAATAGTTTGGAAAACAGTAAAACACGATGAAATTGATATTCAGTGTCTCGTTCTCGAATCACAATCGGGAGTGTTTCCATTTCCGCTCCGTAATTTGTACTGTATTGATTGGTCAAGACCAAGGGAAAATAGTCTTGTTTCTTAACCCGGGTCAAACGTTCTTTCAGTGTGTTCAGATTTAGCATTACCACTCGACTATCGTACATGTTGCTTTGGCTACGTGGCTGCCCCAAGACAAGCCCATTCAACAGACCAATCCTTTTGTAAAAAATTAAAAAATGTATGAATATTCCATTTAGTACCGCATTCTATCAACGGCTTACTTTGGCATTGTTAAAATTGGCGCTACATTTCGTATCAAACCAACGGCTTTCAGTTCTGAGTGTACGTCACCACCAGCTAATTGCCACCTAAAACACAAAGAATTGCAAAACTCATATAACGAAACGTTTTCCAATGTTGTATACATCAATAAATTACGAAGACCCACCAATAGTAAACCTGCTTCAATGGGCATTGAAGCAACAATAATTCGCTCGGTTCTGGTTTTTTGTATTGATAATATTCGATATTTTCTTGGAAAAGATCGTGCTGGAGTATTTGATGCGGATAGGGTCGTTCTTTCGGTGAAAACCGTAAACATGATTCCAAAAGGTTGCGAAATGTTGGATTCAGTTCGTTGTATTTGTCCATCAAATTGCATTCACGTGCGATCTTCTCCAGCACATTCTTTGTATTCACCAAACTGAGAATCTTGCGCATAAATTGGGCCAAGTTGAGTGATGGCCAGAGTGGTGTATCGAAAATCATCTCGGTTATTATTATGCCTAAACTCCAAATGTCGCCAAGAATATTATCTTTCGAGCCTAATATTCGCTCAGGTGAGGTATACCGGACATTCCTGTGTCAAGAGATAGGAAGCATTCATCATTTGGAATTCAGATAACATATTGAAAGGAAGCATAAGACACAAACCCGATAGGAAAAGTGACATATTCGCCTTGATTTGTCTGATAGTACATGCCATAATTGAATAATTTTACGTTGCCTAAATCGTCGACGAGTACGTTTTTCGGTTCAAGTGTTTGCATGGTAATATCAAGAGTGTCTATGTGATTCAATCCACTGGCAATTTGATAAAAGATTTTGAGCACATCATCATAACTATGTACCGGTTGTTCACTCAAAGACTTTCCAATGTATTCAGACACGATAATTGTTCGTTCTGTAAATTGAAAATATATGTTTTCTATCAACAGAGCAACAACATTAACTCATCGGGTTCAACTCACCGTGCTTCGATCGAATGATGTCTAGATATTCACAAAGGTTTTCATGTTGAATGGATTTCAGAAATTGTGACCGGCCTAAAATCACAATTGAATTTGGGGTTAAAGGCAACCCATTGCTTCCGCAAATATCTCCCGGCTGACTTTTGGCAAAATAAGTGAAAGCTGCCATCGGCGACGTCATTTTCACCATTTTTTTTTAAAACCACTTATATTTAGTGAAAAACTGATGAAATTGAAAAAGTTGACGAATATTTTTTGTCGTGTTTGCCTGAGTGCGATTCCACCACCGTTTGAGAATTCGAGGTAATCAGTCAAAAAATGGAAATTATTTCAATGGATCGAAAAACCAAATTTGTTTGTGCATTGTAATACCAAATGATAAACAATAATACTCCCATCCAATTTACTAATCAAGCCGATTCGCGCAACGAATACATATTGAAGCACTTTTTGACATTTCGAATCGGTGTTGTAGAGTTGTGGCCAGAGTGAAGGCGGCAATTTCGAATACTAAACAATTTCATCAACACAAAATATGGTTCTGTAAATCGCTATTTTATTAGTGAATCGAATCATTTCTTTCAATTACGTTGGCTTTTTATTTATGGAGGAATTTCCACTTAACATTGATTCCTGGTTGAGATTTTTGGTGCTTCCACGAAGAAGAAAAAACAAGTCATCAAGTTGATATGCGATAAAACGACAAATTAGTCATGCTATCGCAAAGTAAAAGAAGGCAAGCAATATCGTCACATTGCTCGATGCACGCACACATCCAAAGCACATGTATTAGCGAAAACACAAACACACGCACGCACACATTGCCAGTCGATGTGTCGATATCGTACGATTTTCACGTCTGTGGACCGAACACACAATAACTGACTAACATACAAACACAGTGACATTGCCGCGCGTGGATATAGGCGCAATGTTGCCCAAACACATGCTCATTGAAACGGTCTTTTATAGCCTCAATCTGTCTATGGAATTTAGTTTTTAAACATAGTCTGCTGAGGTATAACAAGCACATACAATTGTCAGTCAGTGTTTGAGTTTTTGCGGCTAAATTGTATATTTTGCTGCTGCTACTCAATACGATTTCATTCTTCGCTATTTGCTTGGCAGCCACGAGAACTTTTTACGAGAATTGATTTATCATTTTTCATATCGTTTAAGTGTGAGCCTACATATTTCATTTCAACCATACGTATTCTCTTCGCTTGTTTCCATCGTTGTGTTGAGATTTTAACCATTTTTAGTCAAACTAATTTTACGATTATACGGTTTATGGTTGTCGAAAGGAAGGCGCCTTTGTGTCCTAACAGTGTGTGAGACAGTGTCATGGGGAAACTTGACATATTTTTAGAATTGGTGTGTTAGTTTGGAAACTGTTGATTAAATTACATAGCAAGCTGCAACGCACGAGTCAGAATTTTGCAGATTAAAGTGGAATCGCTTACGAATATCGCTAAAAATATCCAATTCAAGACGTACAGATGTATAAACAATAATCGAATTAATTGGTCGAAGCGGCAGCAAAGGATTGAAAAGAGCAATAGAATCACAAATTAGTGTGCATAAAAAACAGAATATCGACAAAATTGAGTTCTGTGATCGCCAACTAAGAATATATATACAAGAGAGAAAAAAAAATACAATCATAAATATTTTGTGCGTCGTCGTGAGTGTGCTTCTCATTATTATCATATAAAAATATGACATAAACGAAAATATAAGTCAGAAGAGATTTGAATTCTTTTATGTGCCGCAAATTTTCGATTTTCTTTTTTTTTATTGTGGCGGCTAAACATACCTTCCGAAATCATTATCGTTGGTTGCGTGCATAAACATAGGCGATCTGTATAAATTATCTATCTTTTTTTCTGGCGAAAAGATTGTCTATTGTCAGTTTAAAAATTATTGTGATTTTGGTTACAGGTCATTTTTATGCGAATGTCATGATGTTCTATTAACTTTATTGTGATTACGATAATCGGCAATTGTTTACTTACATCATATGATTTATCAAACATTTGCACGACAACAGCCAATCGTATTGAGAGTTGATCTGAAATCGTGAAAAACACATCATCGCCTTGTGTATGAATCTACGACCAAGATAAGGATAACAACATAGACACCAGCCGAATTCATTTGCATCACAATTTATTGTGTCGTGTGATTCGCGTCATCACGATTGGGGCGGTTTTTATTGAGTGCAGACAAGTGACCGAGTGAACAGAGTTAGCACACCGAAAAGATGGGAATTTTTCAGCAAATATGCGATACATTTTGGTCAACATCAATTTGGCTACCGCCAAATATAACATGGGCAGATATTGCACCTGGTTCTCGGCCCGATGTCGACCACGCCGACTACAGAGACTTATGGTGGCCAATAGCGATGGCCATCGCTCTGCTTATCATAAGACATTGTGTTGAAACGTGAGTATTAAGATTTGACAAGAATTTATCCAAATAAAAAATCAACAAGAAAACAAAAACCTGCACCAGTTCCAACTAAACATTCGCTCAATACACACAAAGAACATAACCTCAACTTTTTCGGGAATTTCATCGGAATTTTCAGCTTATTCATATATTTGCAACTGTGCGTTGCGACAGCCTGCTATTTTTGTGAGTCACAAATTATCAAATAATGACCCACGTGCGCATGATACGAAACATTTATGTGATATCCAAACGCAACGAAAATTTCAGATGAACTCAATGTAAAATGAATATAAAAATTATTGTAAAAAAGTGAAAAAAAACGCATATGATATGTGCATGTTTCGGAAACGCCCTAAAAGAACTCTCCGATCGTAGTTTTGCTAAACAAACCGAAGGAAATCGCGTCAATATTTTCAGTTGGGACCAGTTGTATGCTATAAAAAACATACACATAGAATACTGTATTTCGAACAAATGTTCGAGATCTGATATGACGTAGCCCATACATATATATTCACATTCTTAGAAAAGAGACTAAGCCCAACTAAATTGATTGCATTTATTCAAGTGTTTCGACGGTCTGTGGTTTGAAACGCTGAAGATTCAAACACAATGAGCTGAATTGATGTTTATAGTTTTTTTCCCTCTCGTAACTTAGTTAAATGGCTAGTTTTTTCTGTGTGTGTGTTTCTTCTCATTATAAAAAAACAACAACGTGCACCAGCGATAACAATCGAGCATACTTGGGCCCACACGCGACTAATTACAACATTTGATTTTCTCTATGACCAATTTGACATGCAACATTTTTCGCTGTCGTCACTAACGGCTTTTTCTTCATTATTATTGTTTTAGTGTTCTCTACGAAGAGAAGAATGAAAAATAGACGCGATACAATGTTGTCTGTATTTGTGTGTAAGCATAGCCGGCTTCAGTCATTCACTCACTCTCGCATAACGATCCGTTGTGTGTTTGCGTTTCGTTTGTATACGATTCGCAAAATTTTGTTATGCATATTTGTGTCAGACACATCAATTAGGGTCAATTCAAAGTCTTTGTTCTTATGCTGTATAATTTTCAAGTGATATTTCATCGCCGATAAATTGCAATTTCATTTCTCTCTCTTTCTATTTCTATCTCTCTCTCTCTCTCTCTCTCTCTCTCTCTCTCTCTATTGTACTATGTCTATGAAAATGAAAAAAGGCCAGGATGAATCGATAAAATGGATAGTATGTGATTTTTTTTTCATCATTATCATTCGTGCATCGACGTGTTGATTGACATGAAATGAATTTCAAGTTATTCACTTTTTTAAGCTAGATTAAAAAGCCGCTTTTTGTTCCCGTCAGTAGAATGAGTTTATTTTTGTTGCCACACATTGATGTGACAATAGATGATCGTGTAAGCAAACATTATCAAGGTCAATAATGGGAGCGTTCAGAATAATGTTTATTTGCATATAATTACTGTCTACAACAATTGCAGAGAGCAATTGATTGTTGCTTCGCTGATAAGAATGCAAACACACACACACACACACGTGTAGGGTAGCCGCTCCAATTTTCGGCATAAGTATTGATCGACACTCCCCTAAATTGTCTAGAATTTCATGAGGTTAGTTCATTTACACGAAAATTCATCGCAATGAATGTTAAAACTATGCATGATATCTCTAACACATTTCAAATGCCTATCGCGTTTTTTTCCTAACACCAGCGACAAGAACAACAAACGTGAAATTCAATCAATGAAATCCGAAACGAATCAAATTGACGGTTAAAATAAATGTAGAAAATGTTTGAACTGGTTGACGCCACAAAAATTCCCAACCCCGTAAACATGATTGTCAAGTTTTGTTTTCCTTTTGTTTTCAGGTATATACTTAGTCCGTTTGGTAAATCTTTAGGTATCAAAAGTACACGAAGCAAACGTGCCACTCCAAATACAATTTTGGAGGCCGCTTACAACAACTGCAGCCGAATACATCATAAAACTGTAAGTTGAAGAAAAATGTTGGCTGCATGCAAAATACAAGAAACAAAAAAACGGTGATTACACTCTGTTCCATTTCATTATTGTTTTTGTTGTAGATGCCTTCTTCCGAACAATAGTAGCAAATATTCTGTTTATTTTGAACATTATATTTTTGAAAATCGTAGATTAAGATGACAGGCGATTTATAGCAAATATAATACGATAATGAATACTGTGGCAAACATGAAATTCAGATCACAAAGCACAATGTTATTTTTTATCGATGTTTGATGATAAACGAACTTGGTCAAGAAAACTAATGTGTTATCAAAATCGACCGTATATTTATCGAAATTGTTGCCAGAGAAGAAAGACTTTTTATCGAGCGAAAAAAATACACTCACTTTCATTCGGCTATTCGCCAATTGACTTTCATAAAATTTGGAAATTTTCGTTTCTATTTTGCATTCATTTCACACTAAAATATGACATAAAAGAGGTGAAGGTCGTCTTTTTATTAATAAAAAAAAAAACTTTACACTTTGATATGAAATTCAAAGCGTAAAAGATCTCACAAGTTTGCTATGCGAATCCGTACAACTGCCATTGAGTTTGTCGTACCATTGCGAATGGCTATGGTAAGTGGCATCTCGTTGTAAATCATTCTCAATGAAAAAAACAAAGAAAATTTGAATAAATAACAGCAATTGAACTAAGTACATAAATCTATTTATCGAATTAAACGATGGCATCGCAAGAATAATATTGAATAACATTCGCATGAAATGTGGAAAGCAAAATATGATTCGCATGACTGAGTCTATGCAGTAACCGTTTGCTGCATATTACTCTAGCCATTCCATCTGTGATTAAAACGACATACACGATTTTATTGACATTCCACACGTTTGATGTGACGAAAATACGAAAATGGACGTATGTTGGTTTGCCGTAGTTCACTCACATTCTATCGCATAAGCATGCGAGGCGCGCATTCATTAACAACGGGCAAATGTAGTGTGTATCGGTGTACCAAAAGGTGCAGCACATTTTGCACGATACTTTTTTGAAACCAATTTCCAAAAAAAAAAATTCAAGAACTGAACCCAATATCGAACGACTTTTAGCAGTCACATGTCGCTTTTGCAGTAAATGAAAGTTTTCATGACTTAAATAAATATGTTCAATACATTTTTTTGGTCATTATATGTGTGATTAGTCAGATTTTCTGATCTGATAGATCAAATCACTCGCTGAATTTATACACAATTCGATAGGATTTGCTAATGAGCAACTCGAGCAGTTCTATGAATTTTGCGCGTAATCATTTGTTCATTACATGAATTTCGATAAGCACAATTAGTAACTGAGATAGAATTTGTGAATAATTCATACTAATTGAAGTTGACTGACTGGCTTGTTAAAAAAAACTTCGTCTGTACGCTTTATGAAAGGTTTTGTTGCCTTCCAGTTTTGTTCGTGCATATAAGGGCTACAAGTCAATCAAAAATGTCTTGCAATCATGGAAAAATTGCGGAAGAAAATCTGGTACATCAATTAACAAATGAAGAGTGCAGATTTTATGGAAGATAAATTGTTGCTTCTTCATTTCTACTGAAAAAGAGTAAAAGTAACGAGCTGAATTCGACGAGCTGATAAAAATCGATTCTTGTCAATGAATTATCTATCGAACGTAAGAAAGCCGTCAAAAGGCTGCGGTGCAATACCCTTTCAATTTTTATTGTTATATCGAATGGAAATATTTTTTCTGTACGCGCACCAATTGAATGGAAAAGAAAGTGGCGTTTCGGAAATGGGTCTTCCATTGAATATCACGTCGTTAGACACAATGTGTGTGACTTATAAAAGGAAATATACATGTTTTTCGATTCACATGTAACGCAATTAATTTCGAAATGCCATACATTCCAACGCTTAACATGGATTTTATGTACCAGATGGTCCCGCATTGTTGTTGCACTCAATTTGATTTTCAGATTTTATCGAAATCATTACATGTGAACTTCAATCAATCGCCGTTCTCATTTTCAATGATTCACATCGTATCATGTTTGAAGCGCTTGTCATTGTGAATGACGTCACGAAATCGATTCTGATTCTCCTTATCCACTCGAACGATTCGAATGAATTAGTCACCGAATGTCCCCCAGTTCAGTTCATTGAAAATAAATATATATAGATCTTCGATGGTCATTTTACTGTTTGTTCAATTGCAACTAATTTTGGCTGTGATTTCACTGAAGACGTGAGCTAACACCGAAACCGTCATTTGACCAAGAAACGAATGGCATGCAGTTTGAACCAAAGCTACCGGAAATGTCGTATTTCCGATTTGTCAAACTTTTGAGTAATGTCTTCAAAAATGGTCACACAAAAAACAACTCCCATTCAAAACGTTACTTTGTTGGTCCAACATACAATTAATCAGTTGGGAGAGTTCACAAACAAAATATGAATATTAATTGACTCTTTTCAACACAATGTTTTCAAAGCCAATATTTGCATAACGGTTACAGAACGTTTACGTTGTTTTGATGCAAATAATTCCATTGGCATTGTTATGAATTTCCATAAAATTGGATTTAAAACGTGTTAACAAAAAAAATTGTTGACGAAATTCACCGAAAGATGGGAAAAATATCGAAAAGAAACCATAATTTCTTAGGTGTATCGAATACTTTTAATCCAGTTGCATGCTAGAGAAATAAACTGCGATTGTTATTTATTAAAGCGTTGCGCCACTTCGATCATAGTTGTTTTTTTAACCTGCACGATTTTTTGGTGTGTCTTTTTGCGTGAATCGAATTTAAACTGAAATGCAGTGGAAAAAAAGGTGAGAAGAAAACATTTTCTTTCAAAACACAAGCAAACGTAGTTAGCCGAAGAATTGCGTGATACGAATAAGTTATTTTGGTTTCAACTTTATTGCAAAAAAAAGACCACACGCTGTCCATTTTGTAAATGTACAGGTGTCAGCTAGCGGAAAAATGAAATCGCTAATTGCACTTGTACGCATTGTCAACTTTTGCCATAGTGTGCTGTCGATTCCAAGTCTTGAATATTTAATCAGCTGTTGTTTTCATGGTTTTACTTCTATTTTCTATGTGACTGTAGGTTATTGGACTCACGAAGCAAGTGGATATGACCGAGCGACAAATCGAACGATGGTGGCGATATCGACGTGCACAAGACAAACCATCCACTCTAGTCAAATTCTGTGAGAATTCGTGGCGTTTTCTTTACTATACGCACAGTTTTGCATTCGGATTGTTTGTGCTATGGGACAAAGAATGGTTCTGGGATGTTAAGCAATGCTGGTATGGATACCCACATCAAGTAAGTTTCGTTTAATTATGAAAATCAATCATTGGCACCGTACTGAACTAAGTTTTTATTGAACCATTCCGTGCGACAAAAACAAATCGATTGATTTTATTTCCCTACTAATTGATTCCATGCTTTTTTTTCTCTGTCTCCTCTTCAGTCGGTCGACAGTGAAATATGGTCGTACTATATGTTCTCAATGTCCTTTTACTGGGCTCTGGTTGTGTCACAATTCTTCGATATCAAACGCAAGGACTTTTGGCAAATGTTTGTGCATCACATTGTCACACTGTTGCTATTATCTTTGAGTTGGATTTGTAATTTGCATCGCGTTGGATCTCTGGTGCTTGTTGTCCATGATTGTGCTGATATCTTCTTGGAGGCGGCCAAAATTACCAAATATGCAAACTACCAAAAACTGTGCGATGCAATTTTCGCATTTTTCACCGTCATTTGGATTGTGACTCGCTTAGGATTCTATCCACGCATCATATACAGCAGTTCAATTGAAGCGCCACAAATTGTACCAATGTTCCCAGCCTACTACATCTTCAACAGTTTGCTGATATTGCTGTTGTGCTTACATATTGTATGGACCTACATGATCCTGAAAATTGCTCACAATTCACTGAAATCAGGAAAAGTAAGTGCTCCGGTTATTTCCTTCATGCTTTTAACTCATGTAACATATATGTAATTCATTCGATTGTTCTCTCTTTTTTTTTTGTTTAGATGGAAGGCGATTGTCGATCGAGCAGTAGCGAATTATCGGACAGTTCGGAGAGTGTCAAAGGCGCAGCCGTAACGACCAATGGAACACCACAAAAGAAACCATCAAAACCACGATCAACACCAAACTCACCAAAACATTCACACAAAGATTAAGAAAAAAAAAACCTGAACAAAACTGTAATTCTAGTTTAAAAGAACCGCATCTCTCCCATGCTGCGAGATGAAAAAAATAAAAAAAAAACAAATCACCATTTGAAAATAGTTGAAAGCAAATCGCGTTGTAAAGTAAAAGTTTATAAAAAAAAAAAACATATGAGTGCCTCCCGAAACGTTAATTTTTTTTCTCTTCAGATCGTTGTTTTTTTAAGTTTCTGCTAGGTATATATGTAAATGGAATACAATGAAATGAAGGTTCACGTTCCACGATTGTACATTTATAGCATTTAACGGAGTTCATAATTAATCATAAAACAGAAAACCACACACAAAAGACATGAAAACCGATAACAAATAAACGAATGAATGAATGAATATATTTATCGACAAACGGTAATTCATACAACAGAATACTACTAGACTAATTACAAAAAATATAAACAAACCACACAACAAACGAAATCAAAATGGATAAAGAAGCAGCAGTTTATATATATAAACAAACGAATAAAAATAGAGAAAACAAACAAACTAATAACGAACAATTGTGTATATTCCGAAATGAATTTACTATTTTTCTATTATATGCGCTTGACCAGCAAAGAAAAGAAAGAGCTTTGAAAATAACTATAACCAAATGGAACATTCTTCGTGTTGAGGAAGCTCACATTTTTTTTTTTTTGTTCGAAGATTCTAACAACCGTGATCCAATCGATACCCTTCAATTTTATGGACATATTTTTGAGAAACCAATTTTTCTAACGCATTTAAAAATCAGCCTGCACTTTTCTCTCCTTCAGCTCCCATTCAATTCACCAATAATTCTCATATCCATTAGTTGAAGAAGAAAACATTTCTCAAACCTATTCTAAAATGTGCACGTTTTTTTTTTGTCGTAATTTAAAAACAAATAATCCCTTTAAAAAAAAGAAGTCAAAACTGTATTTGTTGTGATAAGAAAAAAAGATTTGACATAAAAAAAAATTTGATTAATAATCATAATTAGCTTTCAGTGTTTTTGGATGAAACGTTATAATAGTATATATTTTTGGACTCGGATTTCGGATTCGAATCATTTCAGTCAGTCCAAAATGCGTACGAAGAAAAGACCAGCATTTTAGTTCGGTTTACATTTTATTTTATTTTTTTTTTATCATCGTTTCAATTCCATTCTGTGTCACAACACAATTTATTATTCTTTTAGCATATTGATTCGCTCTAGTTACGTGTTAAGTGTTTTGAACCTGCTTAGACAAAAAAAAAAGTTAATCGTATTCGTGAAGAATTGTCATTTGATTTTTAATTAAAACTGTGTAAATTATTGAAAATAATTTTCTCTTTTACAATAAATCACTTTGTGAAATATAAGATTGGTCGTTTGTCGTTTTAGATCTTGGAATTTCCTCTGCAGACGTAGCAAATAGTTAGTTGATTGAGATTTTGTGTGCAACTACTGAAATAAATGTTCATCGAATAATAAAAATCGATGTTGATAAAGGAATCAGTTGAAATTTTCAGTCACATCAATCATAAAACAATTGATTTTAATGCAATCAGCCTACTAAGTCGGCCGAGAAATGCATGAAGAAATTTATTACAGCACAATCATTTGTGATTCGGTTAACTGAGTGAAATTTTCAATTCAAAGTTAATCATGGCATAGTTTGAGTTGCCGTTCAACATCGCGTATAATGTGTTCTGGTATTTTGGATTCGCGCATCTCGGCCACCTTTGTTGCGATAACCTTTCGAATGTTCTCTTGACGACACTCTTCTCTCTTCTTTTGCTCTTCATATTCTTGATGACTTTCGATTTGGTTGGTCTTACGACTCTCTGACTTTTGCTGAATTTGTGTGATGATTTCTACATAGAAATATGAGAAAATAGAAATGGTTCAAGTTCCGCTTCTAGCAAATATAAAAATTACATGAATTGAACGGAAGGGGAAAGAAATTACCTGCACGATACTTTTCCCTGAGATGATACGATTTTTCTTTAACGGCTTTTTCCTTTTCTTCTTCATGTTTTATTTTTTCCAATTGTTTTTGGCGTTCGAGTGCTTCCAGCTCTTCTCTTTGCGCCCGGGACCGTTTAGTTTCTTCAATTTGAGCAGCACGCGCTTCAAGCACTTGTTTTTCCATTTGCTTTCGCTTAACGGCTGTTTCCATGGCCTTTCTACGGAATTCCCGTTCTTTTTGCTCTTGAATTCTTCGTAGATTGGCCAATTCGCTTTCCTGTTTTGTTTCGAGCATTTCTTTTTGCCGAGCTAAAATACGATCGATTTCCTTCTGTTTGTGTTCACGTTGCAATTTTCGTTCTTTTTCCAGCTCTTTTTCTCGTTCGGCCTTTTGTCGCATGTACTCTTGAGCTTTCATTTCGGCTTCACGCTTTTGCTCTTCGGCTCTTCTTTTGAATACTTCTGACGCCGAAATGGTATCTTTAAAGTCTTTGAGTATTTGCGTTTTTCGTTCGCGTCTTGCTTCCTCTTTGGCCTTCTCTTCGGCTTTCAAAATTAGCTGTGCCATGGCTATTGCTTGTGCTTCATTTTCGATGCGCTCCGCTTCGATTAATTTCTTTATTTCACGATTTTTCAAACCTTCTTTCAATTCGTTTGCATACTTATCCCGCAGCTCCTTCCACTCTTGCTCTTTTCGTTTTTGTTCGGCCAACTTTTTTGCATCTTCCTCTAGCATCATTTTCTCTAAACGCAACTCTTTTTCACGCCACATTTTTTCCAATTCTTTTTTCTCATTAATTTGCGCGTCCTGAAGTACATGTACTTTGGCGGCCAAGATGATTTTATTTGCTCGTTTAACTTCATCTTCCTAAATTAGTATTTAATTACGGTCAGTTTTCTGATGAATTTTTGATTCAGCAACAAAAAAAACTGTTTCTGATTGAAGTAGCCCTTCAAATGTAATTTACCTGTTCATGTTTCGCTAAAATTGCACGATCCAGTAGCTTTGATTCTTGTTCGGCTTTCTCTTCTGCAAACGGATCATGATGTTTGCCCAGCTTTTCATCTCGAATCATGTCCAATTCTTGCAACGATCGCTTCCGATTTTGGCTTTCCAATTCAAGTCTCCGTATTTCGGCTTCATTCTTTTCCAGTTGTCGTTGTTTCTCTTCTTTCGTCAAAATCTGATTGGCCGCTTGAACGCGTTCCAAATCACTCTTTCTCCACGCCGTCTTTGGTCGAACTTTTAAATTATTGCTGGGAGCTAAAACGCTGCGATTACTATCAGCACTCTGTACACTTGATCTTTTCGTGTTTGTTTTGAATGAAGCGACGGTTTTTGGCAATTTTGCTGAAACAGCACGAGGCATTTTAGCAGACATATTGCAAATTTTCTAGGAATAAGCGAAAAAAAATGTCCGCCGTGATCTTGTACGCTTGGAATCGATTGAATTTCTAGCGGTCAACTAGTCTGATTGAGTATAAACAAAAATTTCGTGGCCAAGGTGATTCATTGCTTCATTCTAGATTTCATATCGATTGCGATTAAAAAGCGTTTCTTTTTCGAATGCTGTGGAACATTCATGTGCTCCTTTCGAATTGAATCCCCACCATTGCGCACAAGCTGTCCGTTGACAGTTCGCCTGTAATGCTGACATTGTAGCGCATTTTCCCCTGCGCTGCCAACGAACTGCACTAGAACTCGCTTCAATCTCAAATCTCGAATCAAACTCCTTCAGTCAGTCAGTAGTGTTAAGTTCATCGTTCATTGATTTGCACAAAGCTCAACAAATAGAAGTGAAAGAGAAAGAAAGAAAGAGGAAAAAAGCGGATCTCTGTCTATAATAATCATCTGAAATTCAGCTGCTTAGATTTTTTATTCATGAAGCCATTTCGCTGGCTCATTTTCATTTTGGAACAAATGACACTGATTCAAAGTCATCGACACGGAAAAAGTGTTTATACTAATAGACAAACACAAATTTTCAGCATCAAAACGTATTGAATTGCGTAAACATTACACGGTTTATTTTTGGGTACCATTCATATGCAAACTTAATGCTTAAATCGTGCCAATGTGAAAATTCATGAATAAAAAGTGTTGCATTTTTTTTATTGAGCTATAAAGGATTCGTGTAAATTTCACACTTTACGGATGTGCAAAGAGTGACACAATCCGTATGATATTTTCGGTGTTGGTTTATGGTTTCGCATTACCGTTTTGTTTGATTTATGCCATTGCGCAATTTTTCGGGTTGTTTTACTTTTTTTCCTATTCGTTTGTGAAAATTGGTCGATAAAATAGTTTTTTTTGTTTTGTTTCGCCCAACTTAATCGCGATTTATTACGGTACATAAAGTCATTTCGTCTGGACAATTCGATGAAATGCAAATGGTATCGATTGTAACCCGTGACCGAGTTCAACATCGCCTGAGCATTTGTCCCGTGATAAAAAAACTATAAAACAAACTGATCAAAGCAGCATATTATTTATCGATTTTGCACACAGGCCGACCCGTTTGCCATTGCGTTTGGCATCACGATATATTCTAATAACATTCAGCAAGGTGAACACTTTCACATCGACACACAACCATAACAGGTAGAAAGAAAACAAGAGAAGAAAAGAAAAAAAATGCCAAAGAACAACATTGCATCATTGGGGAAATCGGCGTCAGTAATTTGCGTTGAGGAGGTATTTGACGATAGCTATCATCAGCCGTCTAGCGATGGTGAGTTATTGCAAATTTACACCATTTCTATTGCTTTTACAAAGCCCACACATTAATCGATTTGGATCATCCCATTGCATTTTCAAGCATGAAAATGGGCAAGAGAAAAAAAAGAGTAATAATCGTCAAGGCGACCCTGTCGCTGTTGTTTACGGGCACGGCTCGTTAAAACGCGGTTTGTTATTATTGATCGGCAATCCCAACAAAATTATTTGTTTTGGCTTGCCGAAATGTCAACCAAACCACACCAAACCGTTTCACCATGGTTCTCCTTTTGCCTCCAACTATTGTTGTTTATCGTGTAATGGGGTTTCCGTGTATTCGGAATATATACATTGTTACGCAAATAATAATTGAACGTTGCTAGCGAAGATATTTGTTGTTACGTTATAGTTGCCAGGACGTCGACGCACACTACGACACCGCACCACAAACCAAAATGGATAAACAAATGAGTTGCTCGCACTAGGCTTTGATACGAGCCACTCAGTAGTTTCATTACGTAGTGACATCTAAAATGTGCGTAAATTATAGAAACTGTAACGATTTGTTTGGTTCGCTTCAATATTTTCTCCTCAGTCGATTCAAAACCATATTCACAAACTAGGAAATTCTGTTCGCAACTAAATTGATTAGTGATTTTCGGAAGAAAAAACCAACTTATTGAGTGATTCCCTGTGTTTAGTAGCTTTTCATTGCCGACTTCAACTGAACAACGTCTTCGGAAACTGGATATAGTCCATAAATTGGTAGAGACTAACATCTCTGGGCTGAATAGATTAGCCAGATTGAGAAAATAGATAAGCCAGCTTTTTTTTCGCAGCAGTTTCCATAAAATGTATTCGGGTATTTTGTGTTCAATAGACTAGAATAAAGTATTCAGTCGAAAATCGGAGATTTCATTGTGCTAATAATAACGCGGGGCAAAAGGTCGTATAAAATTGCTCGTTCGCTGCTCATTTCATATTCAAATTCCTTCCCTCTTCAGTGTAAACTGGCAGCCAGGTAGGCAAGCAGACAGGCATCGAAGTGTACCATTGTTGACGCTGCTGTTACCCATACCACTATTATTCACGCCATTGAACAGGTGGTGTGCTTACTTTTGTGCGTATACGTATGCATGTGGGAAAAATGACGGCAAGGCCCATGAATTAATAGGACGAAACACATTTCTTGATTACACACAGAAGAAAAAATCCCTTTGTGTTTCATTCGCTTATGCTTGTCATGTCAACACGCTTACATTAGCGACATGTATGAAACACTGGGGGTTTGAGAACATTTGATAGTCACTCCAAATGGGAAATGTCGAAAAAATGATGCAGCACTTAATTCGCTACTTTCATCTTCTTTGGCACGCCATTTTCCCATTTGGCAGTCTAGTGGGTCGTTTTTCTCCTTGTCAATGAATTAGAATGGATCTATGCTTAGTTCAACTGGATTGATTTCGTACTCAATTTCACTAGCGCACAATAGCTTCTAATCGTTGGAATGTATCGTCGTGCGACACACAATATGATGAATTGTCCACTGTTTTCCTTCAACAAACAGATTCATGACATAATCTGTTATACATTGCCATATTAGAAGGATTAGTATTCAATTAGTGAAATCAAATCGCTTTTTCTATGGTTAGGGAAAAAAGCACATACACAAGAATTATTTTCAGTTAAATTAGTTTATGTGCGAAAGGATTAGCAAAGGCTAGATTTAATGATATCATTCAATTATAATGAATAAAAATACCTACGAATAAGTTCACACATTCCATTCCACTTCCAAACCCGGCCCATTGTAAACTCAATTGTTTGGCTAGTCACTTCCTATGATTGTTTAAAGTTACAAACGCTTCGCATGATGCAAAAGCAAATGCGGATGAAAAGAAAATTCAAGAAATAGTTGCAAATTAGCTTAATATTTATTTTTGCTGCATAATATATGCACAATAGGGCGGGTCGATTTTTTTTTCGACCAAATACCTATGATTTCCGTGTTCTATGGGTCATTCCAAGAA